CTAATTATGACGGTTTGGAAAAAATCTCAACCCAACTCAACTCATTCAAAAGTATAACCCAAACCAACCAACCCTTGCCGGTTGAGACGGGTTGGGTTGGGTTGGCGGGTTAGTAGTTACATAAATTTGTCGAATGAAATAATTTATAAAACATAATTTTATAGATCATACTATAAAACGTCATATCTAAAATGGTTACAATAGGTTTACATGACATATTTGGACGCTTCAACAAGTGTTTTATAATGATTTTTAAACAAAATGTCGTATTAGTTATTTTATGTAAATATTTTGAGAAGTGTCTCTAAAACTCATCTATTTATAGGACACTTATATATACACTTTTCAAGTCGTGTCGTATAAAATAACTAATATGATACTTTTTTTTAAAAGCGTTGTAGAATTTGTTAGGACGCCAAAAATCATCCTATAAACATATTATAACTCTTTTAGATAAGACATTTTTTTCTTGTTTCGTCCTATAAAGAATCATGTTAGGACGCTTAGACATTTTAGGCATCCTATAAGATCTAATGTTGTTGTAGCGAAATGCTATAACTAAACATTTTATTTCCAHTAAAGTACAACATHAAATGACGGGGTATTTAGATTGATGGATTCGTCAACAAAATATCTATTAGTATCATTCATATTCTCCGACATATCAATTTGTTGTTGCTGCAAAAAAGATTTCAATAATTTTCTCTTATTAATTAGATTATTTGTCATCATTCTTTGATCGTGAATCTCTTTTGGTAACCTATACATTTAGCTAAAATGAAATACAAACATAATATCAATAAAAATTATACATTGTTAATATATGTATATATACATAATAAACATATAGGGGTGGGTTCGAATAAAAACCACTCAATTTGTAAAAACCGTGAAAACTTCATTCAACCAATCATAATTTTTCATTTTGTTCATTTTTTTGTAATTATAAGAGGTTGATTAACCATTTTTATTGTAGAGGGTGTTAATCATGGATATTATCATCTTCATTATTTTAATTTTAGAGAAATACATGAAACAGTTTCATTAAAATTTCATGAAGTAGTATATGAAACAATTTCACAAGATTAACAATATCATGAAAAAATTCCATAAGATTAACAATGGATGATAATAGTTTTTACGGTTTTTACAAATTGGAGTGGTTTTCATTTGATCGCTCCTCTAAACATATATATATATATATATATATATATATATAATTTTATAAAAATTATATATTAGCGGCGGTTTGGCAATTTCAACCCTCCTAATTAGCGGTTAGACGGGTTGGGATTTAATTGAGTTGTTAGCGGGTTGTGTTGGACGGTTTTTGCGGGTTGACGGTTTTTTATGCACCCTTACTAATTAATTTGTGAGAATGAAAAGAATGAATATATGCCAAATAATCTAATAAAAAGTATTTTTAGAAATTAGGATAATAATAATCTTGAATTAGATAAATCTTTAAAAATCTAACTATATCTTTTAGAATTTTTTTTAATAAATTTATCAAGTTTTATATAATTTTCTTGAAGACATACTTAATAAAAAAATTCATAATTTTCATCAAATATCATATATGATATCCACAATCAATTCTTTATTTTGTTCACCATTTTTTCTATTTTTCGGATCCTCGTTTTGTATCACATGTGATCATCGTCATTTAACATATGATATACTACATATCACATATGATCCACTATGTTAATTATTTTTATTAGCCTAGATATTCAACCCACTTTGCGGGTAGGCCAAAGTCACCGCATTTGAACCTCCATGGTCACAAGAAGATTCTTATTCCTTCTTGTATTTGAACCTGGGACCTCCAGACACTTTTGACCTTTTGAGCACAAGCTCAAACCAAGCAGGCACCACCCTTGTGGTTACTATGTAAATTTTTGTATATATCACATATGATAATGTACGTCTGAATATAAGTGACATATATCACATGTGATAATATTTACATCACAAAAAAGCTATAAATGTAAATATACATGATCACATATGATTAACAAAAATATATTTACTAGATACAAACTCTTTTTTCTAAAGATCCACTATGATAATAAGATATGTTTTTGTATATACGCCCAAAGCTGTCAATAATATCATAATCTGATAAATTGGCTCAAATCACCTTACCATTAGAATGTCCCAATGCGTTACAAAATTTAGATTTAGCCAAGGGTCCAATCAGAGGCATAATTGGAACAATAGTATCAAATTTCTTAATAACATTATCGATTAGAAATGCATTTTCTAGCATTTGAATGCGCACCATTGAACGCTTGAGCTGCACACAATAATCCAGAAAGTCAAGGAATTGATTGGATAATTGGTTTATATAAATCCTTTCTGGTTCAGACCCCAGGTAAAAATAAGATTTCCAGAAATTGACAAAGTAATATTTTCATTTATTCATCAAAAGAAATGTTCATTTTGAAGCAAGAATTAATTTTCGTTGATACCTAACATAATACATGAAAGGATTTAGCGATTATTTCTAGTATGAAATGAATCAATCATCCACTTTGGTATCTTATTGAACAAAAATGGTGATATAATTCCTCAATTGATCAAAATTTTCGATTTTTGGGAAGTCTCATGATCATCCAATAAGAAGGGTTCCAATTTTTTCAAATGAACAATTTGAAGACCGATTGACAAAAATATATATACAATTATCACATATGATTAACAAAAAAATCTACAAATATCACATATGAATTGATTGTAGATAGTGATGAAAATTGTGAAAAAAATTATCAACAGTGTATCTGAATTTTTTATATAAAATTTGTTAAAAAAATTATTAATTAATTAAAATATAAATAAATCTAAAAGATATAATGAGATTTTTAAGTATTTATTGGTCCGCTATCCCGATCATGATTTTCTTACCCCCAGAGGGAAAGGCACTTTCTAAAATTATTTTTTATTTGTTATTTACGGGTTCTTTTAGTGGATTGTGTGGCTCATATTCGTTCTTTCCTTCTCACAAATTGAGCGCCTTCTCGTTTGAACCTGTCCATGTGTGTGTGTAGGTGAAGGATCATGTGAGAAGCAGAGTTAAGGTAAGAAGCATAAAAAGAGATCTGGACTCTTGATCATCTTTAATCTTAAACTTACTCATGAATCGCACTTGATACGGGAATTGATCTGGTGCATCTTGGTGCATCTCATCCTAATGTGCAACCAAAGGTAGAGATCCCTTATTATGTTTCTCACATAACCCAACCCTATATATATATATATATATATATATACACACACACAAACAACAATACAACTAAAACATACGTTTTAGAAACTATCATATCTTTTTAAAGGCAACAAATATTATTAAAATTACAATTTCTACTGCAACAAGAAGGTGCCGAAGTAGAAACAGACAAAAATCATATTAATTAAAGGAAGATGATGACCAACAAAAGACTTAACAAAACTACGTGTAATCCAGTATCAAAAACACGAAACAACAACATGGGAAAAGAACCCGTCTACCCACCTAAGTCACAACACCAATTCATCCAATAATAATTGAAACTCGTATAATCGGACAGCTAACAAAATGATATCAGTTGAATGTCGAAAAAATAAATCCCAATTCTAAAGAGGTTTCTCGAAATTCATCGCTTGGTTCCAAAATTCCAAATAATGTAAAACCAGCACCAAAGAAACTATCTGATTTGGATCCAATCGATTCGTTATAACATGGTTGTACTTGCATACATGGGTTTATATGTTTAACGGTGGTTGATGGTGGACTTAAATGTTCTTTAGAATTTTCACTAAACTTCACCAAAATTGTAGTTTACTCTAGATTTTGCTTTGGAGCCGAGGAAATTGGATTCGAGTCATTTATGATTTAACCCTAAATTATGGTTGATGAGAGTGGAGAACCGACAATTAAAACCCTTAAAGTTGGATTAGTCAGATCGATAACGTTAAATAATTCAACTCCGTTGTTTTGATATCAGACAATCTCATCCAATTCAAAATGTCAAATTAAGATTGGTGGGTTGGGTTGAATGTTCTAAAAAAACGCGCATGGCGCCGAGGTGCAGCCTTGCCGCCACGTTCACCCCTTGGCATGGACATAAGGCGTGGAGTTCGTTATGGCGCGCCATGACGCGGGAGTAAATTTGCAATTTTTACCATGGCGCATGAGAGAAAATTTGCAATTTTTAAAACTTGAATAAGAGTAAATGTAAATATAACTTTATAGTTTTTACGGATCAAATACTTGATCAATGAAATGGGGAAAAAGAAAAAACCCTAAATTACTTCTCAACATACGATAAATATTGTTCAATTACTTTCATTTACTATTCTTTGGTTTCATTACTTCGATTGTATTGTTTGATTGATTACCAAACAGGGACTATAAAGAGCGACTTATTTCATAACATTGTTGTAAACTCTGTAAATATTAAATTATTAATTCATGATTCTTCTTTTGTTTACCATTTTATATGAATTTGAATTGTTCAAGACATTAACATAAACACTAACACACACATATGTATATACACATATACATTATATAGATATTTGCCGCCTTAAGTCACTCCTTGTAAAATGCCATGGCCTCGCCGTAACTCGTAAGGCTTGACCTCACCGCCATGCCACGCCATTTAGAACCTTCATATATATATATATATATATATATAGAGAGAGAGAGAGAGAGAGAGAGAGAGATTTGGGATCATGTGAGACCAAGGGTTTTTCGGGAGACCCGTAAGACCAATTCCCAACCATTGAATTAGATCTACAATCTGAACATTCATAATAATAAATTTTTTACAAGACTTCTCAATAATCATAAAATTGTCACCGTGTAACTTTAGACCATTAGATCATTAACTAATAAAGTTGATCAATAAACATAAATTGGTCTTACAGGTCTCACCGAAAACCCAACCCTTCCCTTCCTATTCCCAGGCCACTTTCTAATACATAACCCATTCACCTAAAATTTTGATACCACCTATGAAATTTAAATCTTAAGACCAAATAAACATTCCACCAACATATTAAGGTTACCTTCATGAATGAAATTACATTCTTTTGCAACACAAATGAATCCTAAACAACACACACTTGTGAACATGGAGGGTTTCCCCATCCCAATACAAAGAAAGACACAATCAAACAACCAAAAGTAGTATTCACAATGCTCACACATATTATGAGCCAAAAAAGAAACCAAAGCAAAAGAGAGGGACAAAAACCAATTTGTCAGAAAAAGGAGCCATTCAAGATTTACCCTCTGCACAGATCGGGGTAAATAGAGGGTCACGACTGCACTGCAACACCTCTTTTCGCTTCATATATAGTGTCCGAGATTTTGGTCGGTGGCCAATATCGCAGCACAGACCTACCCACAATGTTTTCTACGGGAAGGGGGCCCCTGCACAATCACAAACAGTTCGTCCACACATAAGAGTACATACATACATCCAAAGTAGAAAAACATCATCAAGTGTGCGCTTGGTACACAAATAGGACTAAACATATCAGAGCGGGATAGGCAGCTAAAGAATTGTGTAAGATTTTAATTTGACATGAGCAGCTTAGTAGTTTATCAATCTTGTCTCTTCTCCCTAATTTTTGTTCCACCTATTCTAGTGAGACTAAAATGTACTCACTATGTCCTATCTCAGTCTAAGGGGCCATTCACCAAACGCTTACCGACAAGAGAAATTACCCTCACTTACCTTATCATGTAAGGTTCTTGGCCATCAAAATGGATTTTTCTTAAGCACCTTAAACTCAGTAAGCGATTACCAGGTAAGAGTCTTTTCCCTCACTTACCGGGTAAGACTTCCAATCCTTGTTATGCCTCTTACCGGGTAAGATTCTCAGTCCTTGTCATGCTTAATTGGTAAGGTAAATGATAACGGTAAGCACCTACCGGTAAGTGTTTAGTAAAGGGCCTTTGGCCTAGCGGTATTTGAGTCTTTAGCCTCCTAGGAGGTCAGGGGTTCAAACCTCACCAAATGTGAGGAGGGTGTGTGAGTTTATTTGTTCTATTTGCCGTTACTTCAAAAAAAAGTGTTTAGTAAACGGCCCCTAAATGTCACACCACAGCATGATAACAAGTTTTTGTTATGTATGTCGTGTATTGTCCAGCGTACCACACATCATAAAAATGACGAGAATTACCAGTTGTGCGAGTCAAAACTGTTGTTACGGTTGTCGCCCATCACAAACACATACCCTTCTGGCACAAGCTGAATAACAACAAAAACGTTGACCGATTCAAGATTTTGAGTCTTGGTACTAATCAGCATATAATGAAGACCTCATGGAGTTGAAGCGAAAGAAGATACCATAGGTTCCATTTCATAAGCTAATGGCTCTAAGATGAATTCCTCATCTTGGACAACACCATTCACCAACAGTTCACCTTCTCGTACCTATCATAACCAAATGTAAATTAACATCGCAAGCATCAAGAAAAGGGTCATGGATCTCTTAGAAGAAGAATATGTCTTACCTCAACACAATCTCCAGCCTTTGCTACTATTCTTTTTATAAATACGTCCCCAGAACTGTAACCAATTTCCTGCAGGATGATTCATCAAGAACAATCAGTCAACAAGGTAGAGACAATACATAAGTCTTTTGCCATCAAAAAATCATAATCAAGAACTAAAATCACACCTGGAGAATGGGAGGTGCCTTGAATATCACTATATCTGAAACTTCTGGGTTCCGAAAGATGTATGAAACCTGAATCAATTAGAGGCAGAAACTCAAAAACATGCAAACGAAATCCGTAAGTTTGCCTCAACGATTATCATGCCTACYACCCATCTTGTGACTTCTGAAATGGGGCTAGGGTACATACAAATCAAACATCCTTTTCACATTTCATCTGCTACTTTATCAAGCTAAGGTCATTTTGGCTGAGTTGTTTTACATATAATCTATTCCAGTTGATAATTTGATAAAGGCTTACTCAAATTCGACGAACGATATGCATCAGAGTACAAAACAGGTTACTATGGTTTGTAAGAATCTTTGTTGATGGTAACATACTAATGCAAACAACTTAATTGCATATAAATAAGCAATGAAAAGTTGTAACAGTGAATTACCAAACAATTACTTGATAACACCTTCAAATCCCTCGAATGAAACCAGAAGCCCCRGTTACCTGAAGGTGTTAGCAATTTAGCATTGCATAACGCATAACAAGTAAACTCTCATAATCCTATATCTAGGTCAATTAGAACATTCATCAACTTATCCTAATTATCTGTAAACCACCAACAGCTAAACACGTTCATACAACTATAGAAGCGAAATTGACAACCTCAAGACTTATATCACAAACGGAAGTTCATATTCCAAGAGCTAAACTGGGTTTTCTTCACTTATCATTTAGTATGCAATAAGCTTAAAACTCTGGGTGATACATTTGAAAAGATTATTGCAATAATTTTATAAGTGAACACTTAGGATTATACCTTTTCTGCCAGAATGCGATCACCGACATCAAGGGTAGGRCTCATTGACTGTGAAGGGATCGACCTCGGCTCTGCCAACTGCGATCTGAATAAGATACTCACACTCAAAGCTGTAAAGGCAGCCTTAGCATCATCGGAACAAACATTCAACAATTTTGAAAGCCAATTGTTCCTCTCAACAATCATTGCCTTCCCACCAACAACATCACAACTTTTCAAGCAATCACTGGAACTTTGATTGTTATTTTTCGTTTTAGTACCCCCTTTATCCACCTCCGAACTGTTAATCTCGTTACAAGGGAGCCACTTCGATCCTTGTAGAAACGGAATAATGGAAGACGCCTTCAACGGCGAAATCCCAAATACTCCCGAACCACCCCCAGAACAACCACCGGTAGCAGCTGACTTCACCAGCGAGATCAATCCAACAACAAGCGGGGAAGGTTTGTTAGAACTCTCAACGCCTAGAAATTCACTCGCGAGCGTCGCATACGCCGAAACCGAATTTCTTGTCGCCGCCGTTGCCGCTGGACGATATCCGGTAGAGACATCTCGATCGGGCTTCTGGAACATACGAGGGCGAGAAAAAACCTCGTGAAAAATCCGGCATGTATTGGTTTTTCCGGCGGCGGACGAGGCCAGGTTTTGGGCCACGTAGCCGGAGTAAGAAACGGTGAATCGGATCGCCATAACCGCAATATTGAATAAAAAGATAAAGATTTGGAGAATTTCTTCTTCGCGGATTAACTGTGCTAATAAGAGAAAGCCTACAAAGCCAGATATCCCATTGGAATTGAAATCAGTGAAACTGAGACTCTGGGGTTGAATGGAAGATCTAGATTAGAACCAAAATGAAGAATTGGAGGGTCAAAATTCGGGAGAGATGATGAATTAGAAACCCTAAATCAGAAAAAACAACCGGAGGTAATTTCCTCCGGGGAGAGGACTCGGGAACGAGAGAGGAATAGTGTTGGAAGGCAGAAGCAAATGAGGGCGAAAGAGGGGGGTGGCTCACTTTCTCTTTTTAATGTGAAGTCAAAATACAAATGGATGATCAGTTGATTATTAATAACACAATTACGTTGATATCAATTGACTATATATGAGATCAAAGGTTTTTCATGAGACCTGTAAGATTAATTTATGTTTATTGATTTACTTTATTAGTTAATGATTTAATGGTTTAAAGTTGTACGGTGACAATTTTGTAATTATTGAGAAGTCTCGTTGTAATTTTGTGATTATGAATATTCATATTATAGATCTAATCTAAGGGTTGAGAATTGGTCTTACAGGTCTCACGAAAAACCTTTGATCTCACATGATCTAAGTCATGTTGATATTTTAATAAATGGTTGATTGCTGATCATTTTTAATTTATTACATATGGAATCTGTCTTCAAAGACACCGTCTATAGAAAGGGGGTGTTTTTTTGACATACTTGACGATGAAGACTGGCGGAGGGTCAGGGATCGAATGCAGAACTTGTCTTGTATATTTGTACACAGGGATGGTGATTTGTCCCGCCCCGGTGGGGACCCCGGTTCACCCGACCCGAACGGGGACGGGGATTCCCCGTTTAAACGGGTCCCGAGGCCGAGGACGAGGGATGTTACTCAAACCGGGGACGGTCATGTCCGCAACTGTGATAGTCAGGTCCGTAATTGTGACAGTCAGGTCCGCAATTGCGACGATAAACTGGTTGAATTTGAATTACTTTTTTGTTCTTTAGCTAATATTGCGGAAGTAGTGACATTTGGATAAATCCGAGAGAAAAATGGTTAAGATACCAATTTAAATATGAGAAATGGTCATTTGAGTCGATTTCCTTCGGTTTTTTCTTACCTCTACACTAAACAACATATTATCACTAAAAACAAATGCATTTATATTTTTATGTCTAACACTTTATATAAGTTCATTTTTAACCATTATAATTTTTATTATTTGTTACTTTTAATCTTTTTTCATATTTACCAACTCTTACACTTTTTATAGAGGACATGTTTAACAATCCCCATTGTAAACTAGACAAGTGACGGATTATATAACATATCAAATAAGTAAGTGTTTAGATTAAATCAAATTTAAAACCAGATTGTATTAAATTGACCATAAAACATTTTTATGTATATATTTTTTAATTTTAAATGTAATTAAATGCTAACTATTAAATTGTAATTTTTTTTATAAACCCAATTTACAATTTTTTAATTATATTTTAAAAAATTTAAATAATTGTTTATCTGTTTGAAAATAAAATAAATCAATTTTCAAACAAATTAATCGAAATTCTGAAGTTTCTTGTCATGAATCCATGAGTTGGGTTTTTTTTTTTTTTTTCCTTTTTTAGGGGTGTTGTTTGTAAATATTTGAAAATTGGTTGAATATTTATAAAAACAATAAAAAATAGAAGGTGGAAATGAAAGTATTGTGATTGGATCGCGTTCAAAAGGATGACGTAAGCGCATACGGAATGAGGCCTTTATTGACCGGATTTGGTAAGATGCTCCTTCTCTCGCAACATTAACTTAACCCATCTTCCTCAACTCTTTTGACCACTTCTTTTTCCAAAACATATGCATGAATTTTTAAAATACTACCGGTGTATTCGGTGAATCATAATTCTGAAACATTAGTTTATTTTTGAATTATGAGTTTGTATCATTATTTTACAAGTCAACTAAATATATAAAGTTAAAGGTTAATATAATGTATTAACAATATCGATTGGAAAAATAATTGCACACATGTCGAGTTTCTAAACTAATATATAGTTGAAGGGTTGAGGTGGGATACATGCAAGATCTGAAACCCTTTTGATATTGTTGCTTCAAATTTCAGTTTATTTCAAGAGAATTTCAGTTTATTTCAAGAGAAATAAGAACTTTGAATTTGAATTTGGGTTCAAGATAGGAAACAAACAAAGTGTCAAACAACTTTGAGAAGACCAAACATACTTTTTTCATGTAAATATGACTTAAATCTGAAACTTTGACCAACCAAATGATATGTTTTAAGCATTTGTACATTATGCATGATAGTTTGTACTTAAGAGATTTTTGAATCTTTTTCATAAATTGATAGTATATTATGCTTTGAGACTTGTAATTAAGTCTTTTGGTCTAAATGCTTATTAATGTAGTATAGATTATCATACAAATATAAAAAATAACACCACAAATACGAGAACAGTCTAAATTATATATGATTTTATAATGTGATTTATTAACTAAGTTCATAAGGAGGAGGGTAATTGGTCAACGTGTCCTAGATCACGTGAAACTTGCACGTTCAATAGCTGGTCAACTCGACCCGCTTCTGGATCAATGTAAAGCACATGTGTCTTGTTATAAAATCACATGATCCGGTCGTCCCAAGGAATTTCTTGTAAGTTGATCGTCTTCTCATTTAAAGCCACCCCTACGTCTTTATATATCTCATTGTCATATCATACTTTTGTATGAGATATCAGATTAGACGATCAGTTTTGTTTCGCGTGCTTTATCGTGAAAGGAGCACGCTTTTTGACTAAGACAATCTCATCTGAAAGCTAAAGCTCAACTTGTTGGTTGTATGCAAATAGACTATTGATAACAAGACTAGAGGGGATTCCTAAATCTCAATGGTTGCTAAATTGACAAAACTTTCAACATATGAGGTATTACGAGTACCAAAAATATTGACTTTTTTTTACTCCCCATATACATATATATATATATATATATGTGTGTGTGTGTGTGTGTATTGATAATATCCTCGAGTACACGTGGGTAAATCAAGTAACGATACACAAATGTTCGATTCTGAATACTCATCCAATGATATATTACTTATACTTTGTAAATATTCTTACTATTTTTTTGTACCAATAGATAACAGAACGAGTCAATTTATTTTATAAATTAAATAACAAAAAGAACCTAATTCAAGTAACATCATAAGTTTACGAGTAAATTGAAAGTTTGGTCCTTATGGTTTGTTGTTTTTTTGCTTTGGGTCCCTAAAAAATTGTTATTGCAAAAATACCTCGTAGTATGTAAAAGTGCTTGGTTTTGATCCGTCCCATTAATGGCTATTGCTTCTATTCGTTAATTGATAGGCATTTTAGTTTTTTTATTTCATTATCCTTTAAAATTTATAAATTATTATATTGATAAATCAGATATATACAGACACATAGACACCAAATTAGAGAATCATATTTTCCAACTCAAGACCTCTGATCAAACTCTTCCCCTCATCGCTGATCTGATCATCGTTGCAACTCCATCACCACACTTCCCTTCCCTTATAATTGCCAAACCTCTCTTTCACCTGTCTTTCTCCTCTCTCTTTCTCTCTTCTCATGACTACCCTTTTCCAAACCCATAACCCTCCTAAGACCATTGACCCTCTCTTTCTCTCCCCATCATCTTAGATTGTCAAAGTTTTCCCCTTTGTCTCTGACTGTTGTAGGTTTCCCCCTCTCTCATTAACTCCACCTATCCCTTCTCCAAACCCACACCCCTCATTCTAAGACCATCGACCCTTTCTTTCTCTCCCCCTCATCTTCGACTATCATAGCTTTCCCCCTCATCTTTGACTGTCATAGGTTTCCTCTCTCTCTCTCTCTCTCCCTAACTCCACACGTCCCTCTCACTAGCAGAAGGAGCATCGCCCTTCCCCCATCCCCTGTCTCTTGTTGCCCTTTCTCATCTGCAAATCAAACCATCGAGAAGCCAAGCCAAAGTTATCAACTTATATGGGTGCTTATTTGGGGGATATTATAGCAAGCTCTCATGATATTGAACTTAGAGAAACCCAAATGAACTTATGACATGGGTTTAAGTTGATTTTTATTTCAATTTGAGTTTGATTTTGATTTAAGGTTTAAGTGTGGATTTGATTTAGCGATTTAAGTAGTTTGATTTAGGGAGGAGGAGAGAGTGTCCATCTGCTAAAAGAAGGGAGTGAACAAAAAGACAATAATATCCTCATGTGCAAGTCATATGAGGGGTTTTAACTGAATGAAAGTTAACGTAGTTTTAGGGATCCAAACCAAGTACTTTTGCATACCACAACGGTTTTCTTTGCAATAAAAATTTTATAGGGATCCAAACCAAGAAAAACAATAAACTATAGGGACCATAACTGCAATTTACTCTAAGTTTAAATAAAACAATTCAAGTGTTCATAACTAAGTTTGCCATTTGAAATTACTTAGTTATGAAGAGTCAAGACATATATATATATATATATATATATATATATATATACATATGTGTATATATATACATATGTGTATATATATACTGGTATTTAGTCAACTGTTAATACCATTAAAAAAATATTTCTCAACTACATTATAGTTTATATTTTTTATATATAATTAAATTATGTTTTAAGACGCGGCGGTTAGAACTGATGTTGATATTTGTCCCTTCACTCCTTCCTTTACGTGAAAAATTAACTTTCAATGTATTTACAATTAATTGATTTTAAAATATTTTTTTTATATATTAGTATTTTTTATACGTTGTCGTTTTAATTTTTTTTAATTGTGTCAATATGTAACATAATTTCATAATTATAAGTTTAAAATTGGTAGGCTCCCTCTGACTTCCAACATGGTTTAAAGTTTGTTATTGGGTTATTATTACTGCTTTGAGCTAGGGATATTACAAATTGCACCAGAGTCAGTATTTGTACCCTCATGATGGGGAATCTCATCGGACATGATGAGTTCTCGAGGGGTGTTTGTAACATCTTAGACGAATCATAGATCTCCGATTACAAGGAGAATTATAGAAAGGTTTGACAAAAACGTCAGAAATTTAAGTATGAAAGTTTGTAACGTTTCCCACATCCATAGAACAGTAGATTTGTGAGATTCTTATATATTCAAAGTGATGGATTACTGTTAAGTTTCATGAATCATTGTTGCCTTCGTTTGTATGGATTTCTTAGCGATCAGCTGTGAAACTTACTCAGATATGTGGAAGATTGGTTTTGTGTTTTGATTGAGTCATATTGTAAAGATCTGTTAAAGTTTTTAAACAAGTCTTATGTGGCTTGGAACGTAAGCATATTTTCATCTTTGTAGTTAGAGTTCTAGCTGTAATTAGCCAACGTATTTTCAATAACAGAGCAGTGAAACATCAAGTTTGCATGCAAAATATTCATCATACTCTCGATAGATCAATATCAGAGCCTTCATTTTACCTAATAGATTGAAAACAGTTACATGTTCGTATACAACTATTCAAGTTTCTCCTAAGCTCCTTAGACATTGATATCCCGTGTACATTTGCAAGAACATTCTTTGCTCGACATAAATGAATAATACATGTTGCTCTTGATTCAAATCATCCCATTTTTCCTAGGTTTTACTAGTCTTGTTAGAAGCAAGTTTCCCATTTAATGCCTTGTGTAACCCGGATGTATCAACTTGTCAATGACTTCTTTTTTTAAAGTATGTAATATTTATATACGACAAATGTAACAAATAAACTCACATACCCTCCTCACCTTTGGTGAGGTTTGAACCCCTAACTTTCTTGGAGACCAAAGACTACGATATCACTAGGCCAAATGCCCTTTGGTAACTCGTCAATACTTGATCTTGCCACAAATCAAAGTTGACCATACCATAAAATTTCTCCACATCAAACCTCATATCAACTAAGAACTTTGACATAGTATCTACGTCTACAAAAAAACAGTATTGTGTACTAGAAAATTGTTTGTAGCCTAGGAGTTGTGTACTCGAAAAAGTTTCCAAATATCCACGTACTCCAGCCACATACAATCCAATCATACACAAACCAGAGTTGTGATGAAGATCATAAAAAACATGTAACCACATAGCATACTAATAACCCTCTAACCTTATATATTCTCAAATAGGAACAAGAGGTAACTCTTTTATGATGCAGGAGATCAAACGAAGCTGCAACCATAGAGAATACTAAGTACCATCTAACCCGAGACTTTCTCATATACAAACAAGAGATAGTTGTTTCCTGATGTGGAAGATCAAACAGAGTTGGAACCATAATATATACTAAGAACCCTCTATTAAGACTTCCTCCAACATAGAGCTCCGATACCACTTGTTGGAAAAATTTATCTGAACATTTTCAAACAACTTGCATAATCACTACAATAAAATCGGGTTTATAAGACACTTCCAAATTCTAAGTGTCATAATAGACCTCTTTATAAGACAAAATAAAATAAAATAAATAAAGTGTCATATTTTAAAGGTGGTGTAATAAGTTTATATGCATTTTTTTGACGTTGTAATAAGTTTTTTAGGACACTTTTAATATAAAGCGTCCCATTAGCAACTTTATAGGACACTATTGAAGATCTGTCATGTAAAAATAAGTGTCCTATAAAAAAATGAGTTTATAGGACATATTCTCAAAAGTGTCATATAAAATTAAGTCCTATAAAACGGTCTATTGGGACGCTTAGAGATTGGAGGTGTCCTATAAACCCAATTTCGTTGTAGTGGAATGAATCATATCAAAGAAATCGAAATATAATAGAAATAAACGACTTAGGAGCCTTTTACCAAATGTATGCTGAGTAATTTCTTACTGGATATCATTTATTTTATCTGTGAGCATGACAAGCAGCGAGAATCTTACCCAATAAAATAAATAACAAGAATCAAGAATCTTATGCGTTAATTATTGATGGAGAAGACTCTTATCCGGTTAGTATTTTTTTTTTTTTTGTAAGGGTGTCCGGGCCAAAGCCCGACTAATCCCCGGCAATTTTGAAGGCTAAACATGGCCCTACTTAAATGTCGCCAACACTTCCCTTCCCAGGGCTCGAACTTGGGTTCATGACTATGTCATGCCCAAACCTTTACCACTAGGCTGGAAGGTCTTTGACTCTTACCCGGTTAGTATTTACCGGGTAAGAGACATTTAATTCCCAAAAAATCTTTTTGATGGTCAATGATGTATCTGATAATGTAAGCGATGATAATGACTCTTACCAATAAACGTTTATCCATATGGAATGTTGCAATACGCTCGAGCATTAAATATATTCATAAAACAATCCAGGTAACTTCATCTTCAACCCGATGTCTCTAGCATTAAATGCATTCATAAAACAATTCATATCGTTCTGCTATCCGTTCATCGAATACGTCAAAGCAATAAAACCCGAAACGCAAACTCCCCTTTTCACACTCTAATTTGATATTACCAAAAAGAGCTTTATTTCATTCAAATGAATTAAAACCGTTACATATCATATAATTATATAAAAAAAATGATAAAAATAAATAAATGTTTTCCTAATTGGCGTACACGCTTGCGGGTCCATCTCACCGTTTTCACTCCGGTTTTCAGCTTTTCCCGACATACACTTATTCCTCATCATCATCGTCCGTCTCGAGATCCGTCGCGAAAACCCACTTTCAACGGTCAAGATCTTCTCTTCCCAAACTTTCACACCAACTCCCACCGGAAAACATTCTTTATGCCTTCCTTCCCACCATTACTATATAATATTTAGCTTCACTTCACTTCACTCCACTCTACTCCCAACGATCTCCATCTCATGGAAGAAAGACCGGAAACGGAGTTGATTTCCATTCCGGCCACGCCACGTGATTCCACGCCCGAGATACTCACGCCGTCTGGCCACCGCTCTCCCAGGCCACAGTCGAAGGAAGGTGGGAAGTCGTCGACGGCRTGGACRCCGACGTCGTTTATATCRCCGAGGTTTTTGAGTCCSATYGGWACGCCGATGAAGARGGTGTTGRTRAACATGAAAGGGTATTTRGARGAAGTGGGTCATCTMACKAAACTMAACCCACAAGACGCMTGGCTTCCGATMACSGAGTCCCGGAACGGCAATGCTCATTACGCCGCTTTTCATAACCTTAACGCCGGCGTCGGATTTCAAGCTCTCGTTTTGCCGGTTGCTTTTTCTTTCCTCGGCTGGTATGTCTTAGACATGATAGTTGTTTGTTTACCTCTTAATAGTTCCATTAAAAAACAACTTCTGAATTGTTAAGTGAATCTTGTTTGACAAAATAAAAGTCTGTCTCTTAATAATTCTAAAACCCTCTGAATGATTTTGTATCATGAGTCTCCCTTAACCATTAAGTGTCTGATTTCATTATAAACAATTATATTTCATTTTGCACTATATCATGAAAGTCTTTTAATCATTCTGACCACTTAATTATTCAGCAACTGCCAAACAACCTAATTCTTAACGTACTCCACTCCTCCTGAGACCTCAACCTACTGAAAATCATGTGCTTTTTTTATAGTGATTTGGTTTAACAAAAATAGTAAAAAGCTAATTGAAACTAAAACAAATAAGTCATCTTTATTTGATAACATGACTCTTTAAGTCGAAAGCAGAATAATCCAAAACGGTTTTGATTTCAATGAGTTATTCGATTTCATATTATCTTGACATCTCTCTGTGTATTCCATCAATGCATCAAATCTTTCGTTATATCTATTTTCCGTATTATATTGTTTCTGATGAATGCACTTTTTTGTGTCACGTGTAATAAAATACCATATTTCTTGTAATTATTCATTAACAATATTCTTTTTATTAAATATTTACAAAATGTTACTTCAATTTTAAGATGTATGTATTTTGTAACATATTAATAAATTTAATTATGTTAACATTTTAGTTAAAATAGGTTCAAGTTTAATTTCGACATGATAACATATTTAACTAAAACACATTATATCTCCGATAATTTAATTCAACATTAATTATGACCTATTAAAAGTGTACTCAAGGAATATATATCTCGATTATGAAACAAGAAACTCGAACCCGTTATCAATCAATTATAGTTAGATAATTTATATTTAAAAAACAAGACACGTCTATCCAGTCAAAACTTGATCCGTTCATGAGAGTTTCTTAATTATTCTGCAGCAAACCATTCAGCAACTGTCAAGCAGTCTCTTATTGTTTAACTTCAAAATCCAAATGTTTTTACGAATTACGATAACCATTTTATAACTTCAAAACCGTAAGTATGAAAAATATTATCTTTGACAAACCACATGGACTAAATTTGCAGTTTACTCCACATTTTATTTAACAAATATTAAGTTGTAATATTTTTGTACTTTTTGTTGTTCCATGCGTGACGGGAGACATCTCGTGTTCTTTAACCATCATTTACTTTTTCTTTATTGAATAACATCATGGTTTTGACCACTAAAAAAAGTAAACATATCTCTCTAATTATGTTTAAGTCTTTTTATGCTAATTTATATATATATATATATATATATATATATTATGAACCTCCGTGGCCACAAGAGGATTTTTATTCCTCTTTGGATTTGAACCTGAGACCTCCTGATACTTTTAACCTTTGAAATCAAGCTCAAACTAATCAGACACTACCCTTATGGTTGCTAATTTATATATTATGTAATAATAGTTGAATATTACCATATCCATACATGGTCAAGGGTCTAATCCGGAATCGAGTTTGACCATCATTTTGTAACATCAATACGTCTAACTGTATTTTTTTGGTTGGACTTGTTTAAACGATCCAAACTTTTTTCCATATGTATATGCAGGAGCTGGGGGATCGTTTCATTGACCATAGCTTACTTTTGGCAACTATACACCTTGTGGATCTTGGTACAACTTCACGAAGCTGTTCCTGGCAAGCGGTACAATCGATATGTCGAGCTTGCGGAGGCAGCGTTTGGTGAGACTTTCTCATATTCACACCGTCTGATTAGATGTTAATTGTCGTGCCCTACAACAATTTATTTTCTAATAAAAATTTGTACAAATTTTTTATTATCGGTTTACGATAAAGATCTTGTATTATTCTGACGTTCCTTTCTTCAGGAAATCGATTGGGTGCATGGCTCTCGATCTTTCCAACGGCCTACTTATCTGCAGGGACTGCAACGGCTTTGATTATAGTTGGAGGGGAAACTATGAAATTATTCTTCGAGATTGTTTGCGGGCCCCTCTGTTCATCGAATCCATTGACTACCGTCGAATGGTATTTGGTTTTCACGTCGTTATGCATCGTGTTGTCTCAGCTTCCGAACCTGAACTCAATCGCTGGACTTTCGCTCGTAGGGGCTGTGACTGCCATCTTTTACTCGACCATGGTTTGGGTCCTCTCGGTTAGCCAACCCAGACCACCCAACATCTCTTACGAACCCGTTCCGTTACCTACATTTACCGCTTCGGTCTTTTCGACTTTTAATGCACTTGGTATCATAGCATTTGCATTTAGAGGCCATAATCTAGTCCTCGAGATTCAGGTAAATATATATACATACAAGGTTGGGTTCATGTGAAACCAAGAGTTTTTTATGTGACAATTTTGTGATTAATGAGAAGTCTATGTCAATTTTGTGATTATGAATGTTCAGATTGTAGATCTAATTTAAGGGTTGAGAATTAGTGTTATGAGTCTTACTCACATGATCCTAAGCATATATATATATATATATATATATAAGTCTCTTTGAGATGATACTAAAGTTTCATGGTATCTTCTGTGTAGTCGACGATGCCATCGACGTTCAAGCACCCAGCTCATGTGCCAATGTGGAAAGGAGCCAAGGTTGCATACTTCTTCATCGCCATGTGTTTGTTCCCGGTAGCAATCGGCGGTTTTTGGGCTTACGGAAACCTCGTAAGTGCATAGATCTATTAACCTCCCCGTTGCGTATTGGTACTTATCGAGTATAGAATAAATCTGTTTCTTTTTGTTCCTACAAACAATATTGTTCCTAAACCCTAAACCCTAAAGAAACTTTCTAACACGTTGAATTTCAATATTGTAGATGCCGTCAGGCGGGATTCTGAATGCAATGTTTGGGTTCCACGAACACGATATTTCAAGATCCTTGTTGGCGATGACATTCCTCCTGGTTGTCTTCAGTTGCTTGAGCAGCTTTCAGATATATTCGATGCCGGTTTTCGACAACTTCGAAGCCAGCTACACGCACCGGACGAACCGACCATGCTCGGTGTGGGTGCGGTCGGGTTTCCGGGTGGTTTACGGGTTCATCAACTTCTTCATAGGAGTTGCACTGCCGTTCCTTTCGAGTCTAGCAGGATTGTTGGGCGGACTAACTCTTCCGGTGACATTTGCATACCCATGTTTTATGTGGGTGCTGATCAAGAAACCCACAAAGTATAGCTTCAACTGGTATTTCAACTGGTCGTTAGGGTGGCTGGGGGTGGCGTTTAGTGTGGCGTTTACGATCGGTGGGATTTGGAGCATCGTCGATAGTGGGCTGAAACTGAAGTTCTTCAAGCCTAGTTAGTTAATTATATGAAGATTGAAGGTATGATTGTGGTTTTTGATTATATTATATATAATATATATATATATATATTATATACAGTTTCTGATATATGTAATGTACTGTGGAAGTGTTTTAACATTATTTATCTGGAAAAACTGCTCAAGATTAATACAGTCATTTTCTACCATCTTTTTGTATTCTTAACTGTGAGTGTTGGAGAGGTGTATTAGGGTTTGAGGTTAGCCATTGATGAGGTGTGCACTAAAGATATGAACCTGAGGTGTACTCTCAATAATATCATTTGTGTGGTAATATTATTGTGTTCCCCTCGTTTTGATAGAAATGGGTCTCCCCTGTAATATCTCATGTATATTGTTCAGGTCGGGATAACTTGTTATGGTGCATTACGTGGTTGTGTACAACCATTGTGGTTTGGGTAACATTTTATGTTGATCCAAACTTTCTCAGTGATTTGATAATGACCCTCCATGCTTAGTGAAATATTCTTGTTCTACTTCTGTTCAATTTCAACGATTATCTTAGAGTCTGTTCAGTGATCGCTAAACATGTATTGTAAGTTTTTCAAAGAACAAGTATTTCTCAAAAGACAAAACTCACACCAAATGAACCTTTAGCGATGTCGAAGAAGTAGCTGAAGACAGAGGCATGACAGTTCGTGATCTGAAGTGAATTCAATGATAACAAGAATGTCTAAATCGAAGTGTGAAACCTGACCAATCAACAAACACTTTTGGTATCGTTGATGTAATTTTTGGGTAGTAATATGCATTGCTTACACAGATTAATATGCTATGTACAAATCAGATCTCATTTCTATTCGACAAACCATTTGAAACTGTCTTTTTCATTTTAACAATTTCTTTTGTTTTCTTGCGTAAACTTAAAAATATATGCAAGCCATTTTCCAAAAGAACCTCATGTACTTGGCTGTTGTTGTTGATGCTCAACCACCAACATAAACTTCAATTCATTCTCAAGTGAGTTCTAACATGCAATTGGAATTTCGATCCAAATGTATGTGTTCTTGATTTAGCCTTAAAACAGTTACATGCATCAACTGAGTAACATTAGCCTGCAGTCAATAAGGTGGTGTTTCTATTACAAAACTTCAATTCAAGATTAATAGCCTTTGAAACCTAGAGCAAAGAGTAAAAATGGAAGGTGTTGTTTTATATTTAGGGGGCCGTTTACCAATCACTTAGCATTGCAAGCATGGAGAAGACTCTTAGCCAGCATACAGAACAAGGAAACATATCGAATATAAAAAAACTAAGACATCACAAAAGTTATTAGAAATTAAGAGACCAAACAAAACACTTAATACTTTAATGTATGAAAATTGGGATTTAAGTGATTAGATTAAGCAAAACTAATTGATTTGTTGATCAACTTTATATTCGTCCAGAAATTATGTCATTCAAAGTTTCAAATCGAAAAGAGAAAACAATTTCCCATTTAATTTAACTTTTGCTATGACAATCAATGATGTTTAGTGTGTGACAATTTCAAATATAAATGTTAATTCGTAATTGGTATGTCCGATTACATTTATTCAAATTTTACATCTCGCAGCATTGCACGGGTACACAACTAGTATGTATGTATGTGTGTGTGTGTATATATATATATATGTATATATATATATATATATATATATAGGGGCTGGTTCAAATAGAAACCAACCGTATGGTACAAACTATGTGAACCGATCTTGATCGTTCATTTTATCATCAAGTATTATTAAATGAGATTAAATAAACAATAATTTAATTAATGTATTAATTGATATGTGTATGAACAATTGTTCAAAGGGTAAATTGGTCAAACGGTCATTATTAAATAAGTATTAAAAAATAATCAATTAATCACTAAATTAATTGGGCTGCTTATGAACAATTGTTCACAGGGTATTTTGGTAATAAATCCTCACGCATCGTGAACCCGATATTCTCCAGCCGATTTGTAACCTACGATCGATTATGAACATATTCACAACTCATGTTCACATGTTGGCCCTATGCTCGTGTGAACAACATCTGTGTCTTGCAATGTAAACACTATGTTCATATGTTCATATATGTTCACATGTCGGCCCTATGTTCGTGTGAACAACATCTATGTCTTACAATGTAAACACTATGTTCATATGGTGTGATGTTTTTCAATGTCATACCGTATGACATCGTCACGGGTTCGTGTGAACAACGACTGTGTCTTTCAATGAAAACAAGTTGTTCATATGGTGAACATATATGAACATAGACTGCAAGAGATGCACATATATGAACATTTTCAAAATCAAGGATCGTTGTGCATGTGTGCAGATATGAACATAGACTGCAAGCGTATATCGTCTTCATTATTCTGACATTCTTTTACAATATGATTCTCCATGTATCTTGAACGAAATGAAAATCTTGTACACTTAGACAACAAATTTCAATATATGTATAAAATCAATTGAAATGAATATCATGAACATGAAATAATAAAGAAATCATAAAAATCTCATGAATAATTAGATATATCTTTTAAAATTTGTAACTCCCAATTAATTATTGGGGGTTACAAAAAGGTTGAATTACCAAATTACCCTTATTAACTTTTTTTATAATTTAGATTTGAACCTAAAGTGAAGAAAGAATGTGATTGGTCAAGATCGGTTTCCATAGTTTGTACCATATGGTTGGTTTCTATTTGAACCAACCTCTNATGGTTGGTTTCTATTTGAACCAACCTCTCTCTCTCTCTCTCTCTCTATATATATATATATATATATATATATATATATTTGTGGGTATAAGATTGTGTGAGAAAAAGAGTTAATTTGACAATCATAAGAAAAGATCTGGACCATTGATCACTTTTAATCTTATTTTCATCCATTAAATGTGCTTTAGAATAGAAATGATCCGGTATATCTCGGTACACCTCATTAGTGTTGACATCCAATTATGATTAATCCAAACATAATTATCTCTTATTACACTTTTCACCGGAAGCCAACCCATATATTTGCATGGGTATAAAAATGTTGTTTTTACTTTTTTATAAAAAAAGACAAAAGTTAGGAAAAAGGTTAAAATGGTCCATGATTTAACAAAATTAATGGTCCATGGATGTGCTAATCAGATGGACCATGACCAAGACAAATTGAATACCACAAGTACCAAATCCATAATAAATATACTATAAGAATCCGAACAAATAAAAATATCAAAACACAAGGACCAAATTCATAATTGACTCTTTAAATTATAAAAAGCTTTTTAAAAAGATTATTGTATTAAATAAGATTTTTAAAAAATGGATTTTTATTAAAATAAATTAATAGAAAATAGATAAAAACAATAAATTGTTGGATATGTTATAATAAACGGTCATTTTAGTTAAAACACTGGTTTACTCTGTCCCACTTTTATCGTGGCCCCAGCCTTTTCCTGCCCGGGGTCTACTCCTCTACGAAAGGCTGTATTTGGGTTTCGGTACACTCTCATTTGTTCTCTCTCTCTCTCTCCCAGGATTCTTCTTCGATTCACTATATCTACCTTGAAATTTTCACTGCAGCCCAAGAGAGGATTGATTTAATTCACGCTGCATCTCAAATGTCTCTCAAAATTTCTTGGCTTGTTTCTAGGGTTTTACATAATATCAGTTGATACGGACAGACATGATGAACGCGAGAAGACCTCATTTTATTAAGGGTTTTAACCCTAATATCAGCTTCGATAAACTGGTAATTTCTTCTTTAACTCATGCTTTTTTACATTCTTAGATGCATGAATGTTTAGATGTAAAGAAGCACAAATTTATTACATGAGTGTGTTGTAAGAGTGTGCATTTGTGTTTTATTAGCTAATGATTGAAGTTCGTTCAAAAGATGAAACTTGAAGATCTTTTCTTGCTCTGATCGTTATTATTCCGCTCATATTTACAGTTTTTTTAGTGAGGATTAGTATTGTGAAAAAATTGGGGTCTCTAATAGTTAGCAAGTGAAGTTATAAAGTTAGACAAAGTAAAATGTAATTCAGATTGGGAATTGTTTTTCTCGGACTCTTAATTACCATATTGGCTAGGATTGAAGCCTGATTTAGATGCTACATCGATTTGGAAGTCTTCTGTCTGAAATCATATATTCACCAATAGTTATGCTGAAGGGATGACATCTCTTGCTGTTCACATGTGGGAAAACAGAAAAAAATGATTAAAATCACAATGTAGGTTGTATTTTCTAATATGCTAAGTCTATACTATTGAGTTAGAAGCCACGTGCTAATTTGTCAAAATAAGATACAGCTAAGAACTACCCTCTGTTATTGGTTTCTTAAAGGGCATATAGCTTTAGAGAAGAAAACCAGAAACTTTTATATAATCCATGTATCTTCTACTACTTGACTCATGCATAGTTTAGTGGATTGCTTAATTCTATACATTAGGAGCAGTTTGAAGAGGTGCTATTCCAATGGATGGATGTTAATACTCTTTCAAGAAGAGATCTTTTTTTGTGGTTTTATAGTTGAAAGCAGTATGGTAATACCTAGTTTCTTTTATGTTCATTGTGTGATTTTGCGGTTCTCTGGTACAGAAAATACCTTCAAAATTTGGCAAACATTTGGAAGGGAAAACAGCTGGAACGGTTTCATTGATGGGTCCCAGTGGGAATACTTGGCATGCTGACTTGGCTCACCAAACTGATGGTCTATTTATCTTGGACGGATGGGCAGCTTTTGTGAGAGACCACTTCTTAGAGAATGGCGACTCTTTAGTATTCAGATATGATGGTAACCTGCATTTTACGGTGCAGATCTTTGATCAAAGTTCTTGTGAGAAGGAAACTGCATTTTCTGCTGAGTGCCATCAAGATTTGAGCATCTTCGATCAGCATTTTGGAAAAAAGAGGGAAAGGGAATATGCAACTATGTTGACAAATATGGTTGACGGTGTGCCAAAGAAAGCAAGAAGTTCGCAAGTCCATTCTGAGTGCGTAACAAAGTACCATGAAACTACCAACATAGCTGAAATGCAATTAGGCTTACAAGAAACCATGAATGGACGATGTGAAGTTGCAGATTTTTTGAATGGCTCAGAGTTTTGTGGCAGCGCCTTCAAGGATTCCATCACTCCTGCTTTGCCTGTATCAGGTAAAAATGCTTACTGTCTGTTATATCTGGTGTCTGTTTTTATTTTGATTATTTAGTATGTAAGCTAACATAAAGTGCCGACAAACTTTATTCACTCTATGTGGTGGTGAATTGCACTGTTCTATATCTTACTTCGGTTTTCTATCAAGTATTGTTTTCCCTTTCTAATCTTGTTATTTTATTAACCTTTTTAGTGCATATTTTGGTTCTAGCTATAAAAGCTTTCATGAATCTTATTGCCCTACCTCATACATTACTGGCGTGCTTCTGAATTTATGCAGAGGTAAGCCCTACAGAAGATGAGTTGGGCCGCTTATCAGCTTCTGAAGCAGATAAGATAGCTCAATCATTTACTTCAAGTTTTCCTCACTTTACCCAAGTTATGAAAAGGTTCAACATAAGCGGTTCATATACATTGGTAGGTAGCTCCTATATATCATTATCTTCATGTTTTATTGGAAGCATTTTGCTGCATGTATTAAGCGTAACTACTCTCATCCACAATTATCACAAAGGGATGAAATTATTAATTGCCCCTCCCCTTTTTGTTTGTCCGCCACTTTTTATATCTGTAATAATATAGTATACATAATTGTTGTCAGATAATAGTAAAATAGGCAGACAGTTGGTTAGTTTTTACTATTTAACAGGGAAGAAAAAAGCAATCGACACCCTTGTATAACAATGCTTCTTTCTCTTAAGATTGATACCCATATAGTACCAAAATGGAATTCATGTTATCAATAAGTCTCTTCTAGTATCTTGTTTTGTCTTCAAACAAGTTCACAAGGTTTCTTGCAATCTGTAGAAGTTCTTTTTTTGCCTTGATGGTGGTTCATATGCTTATAAACAGGTTCCCTTTAGATCAAATGCAAATATCCACACATGTACACGTGGGATGTATAAGTCGCACATTTGAATAGTTATATGGTATGTTATCTCAAGTGTATCTAGCAAAAAACCTGAGAAACATATCAGTTTATGAGCTCCCAGATCTCAAATATGTCCAGGAAATACCATAAAATTCTCGGTAGGTATCTGATTGATATCCAAAGAAAAACATCCCAATCCTTAAACACTTCAGGCAGAGAGGAATGTGGAAAGTTTGATTTTAACCAGATCAGGAACCAACTGATATGAATCTTGGAACACCCATTTACATGCCTAGCAGTTAAAGTTCGGGGATCTCTTGTAGAACTGTCTTCTGTTTCTTGGCTAGACTACATCAGGGTTTAAACCTTGATTTAAACCTTCATATGAGACTCGCTTCATATTCTTTATCATTCTCAATTTTTAGTAACAAATTTCTATGTTGATCCCTGCCTAAAGCTTCATTCGACTCTTGTCATGCAGAATGTTCCATATCAGTTTGCTATGGCATACCTTCCCAACTGCAAAGTAAAGATTGTGCTTCACAACTTGAAAGGAGAATCTTGGACTGTTAATTCAATTCCAACCACAAGAGTGCAAACTTCACATACCTTCTGCGGTGGGTGGTTGAGTTTTGTTCGTGGCAATAACATTAATGTGAGAGATGTCTGCATATTTGAACTTGTAGGCAAGTGTGAATTGCGTGTGAATATTCTTAGAGTTAGGCAGGAAGCACAAGACTATGAACATGATGATGTCAAGGGATTGGCTAATGGGGCCTCTCATAAAAGTTCTGGAAGGTTGACAAAAAAAGTGAAAGGAAATTCACGTAAAACCCAGAAACCGACCATGATAGAAGGTCAGAAGGTTGCATTCTCTATTGAAAAGGTGAAACTTGGTATTGCTGCTAAGGGTACTGTTCTGGGGTCCCACTCAAGAACTAGTAATGGAAAATCAGGTAAAAATCAACGTCCCTCTGTTGACTTATTTAGTATATTCATGCATGTCATTTATTCCTTTACCTGGGTAATGGTAAGCTGTTGGGCTGACGGACTCAAAGGCCAAAAGTTAGGCCCAACTTTATTAATTCTAAACCACTGTAAGTAAAAGAAATGCTGAAAAGAACTAGTGTTATCCCATTGACTGCAGAAACTGTAGTGGGGATGTCATGTCTTATTTTAATTATAATTTTCTTCTCTCAATAAGCTTTGAATGATAAGAGCTGAAATATTGATAGGGAAACCAAAAAGCTTACAAGAAAAAAGGGGTTCTTCTATGCTGGGTTGTATGTCAATGAAGTCAGCACCTGAAGAAAAAATAGCTGCTGAATCTTTCATTTCTAGTTTTCCTTATTTTGTTAGAGTCATGAAAAAGTTCAACATCGGTGGATCATACACTCTGGTGAGTAGTTTGATCTTCTGTTATTCTTTAATAATCTAAGTATTTCAGCTTTATATCTGGTATAGGTCATGTATTCTTGCATATCTTCCATTACAACAGAATTGCAACTAGTGCCCAACTACAGGATCATCAAATTTTGAGTGTCTTGATAAAAATTTGAGTAGTAGCCCAGGCAATTAATAGCGGTGCAACATCAGTGATTTAGGGGTGCTATAGTGGTTGAGTAAATAGCGGTGGTTCAACTACCTTAGTAGTTACCGCGATTTCAGAAAATGACCGTGTTAACTGATTAGGTAGTAGCATTATATGGTTTTGACTGATTATCCATTGAAGCCGTCATAATAGAAACTCCTACTCTCTAGCAACATGTTCATAACAACATATTTTATGGATTTTATTAACAATTTGATGATTGATGAGGGTTGAATACTGAAAGTATATAGTTCATTCCAGCATTTATTTAAGTGTGACAAGGAACTTGCCAATAGCAACATTTCTGTAAGTGTAACAAGGAACGTATCAATAAATGGTAAAACTTTAACAAAGATAGATGATTTAGGAGTTCTAATTAAGGCTTGTTAAGTATTGCACACCGAACTTAAGCTGTGTTTAACACAGCCACTATGTCTTGACATGTGCAGCTAACTTCTATATACTTGGGGGTTGATATGAAGTAGGCCATATTTTGTATGCTGATAAATTACTTAGTTGATGCTTCTTCCTGAACTTAAATGGATTTTGGTTTCTACATGTTTTTAACACCATAATTGCATGAATATTGATCTTATAGTCATACCTTCTGGCCCTCTTCAGAATATTGATCAAGTTCAGTTGTATTACACAATCTTGGGCCAATTTTAAATGGAAGTCGTGTGTGTAAATATGCTTGCCTGATTTTTCATGTGCAAAATCACTAATAAATCTTTGGCTAATTCTATTGGGAGCCAAATGATATAATCAGCACTCGGTTTGTGTCTCACTTTCATTTTTTTCTAGACCAATATAAAACCTTATCAAGTTCTTCTTGTTGGTAGGAATTTTCAAGTAAGGCCAAAAGTAAATTCAGTGCAGAATGCAGGCCCTTGCATTTCACAGCAAACATTTTACTGCCTTCTTTCACTATATAGTTTTTCCCAGCTGCACCAGTCATGTTAATACTTCCCTTTCTTTTCAGCTTATTATGATGCTGCAACACTTGATCTCCAATGTTTCCATCCTTATGATCCGTCTTTTTTATAGAACCCCAAGACCTACTTTATTGATAAAACAGTAAAGAAATACGAATTTATTTGTTTTCAAGAGGTAGAGGCTCTCCCAAGATGCTGAATTCAATATTTGGTATTATAATCAAATCAAGCCTCATGCTTCTCTTAATCCTTATTAGTTGCTTGGTTATGTAAATACCATTGTTGCCTTTATAATGGAAATACTATTGTTCCTTATTTTGATTATGGATATACTATCATTGGCTATTTACTAATTTATTCCTAGATGTAAACCTGAAAAGGCCGAGTCTAACATTACTCCCCCCCCCCCCCAAAAAAAAAAAAAAAAAGATGCGTTATCCTCAAGGCGAAGTCCATTTTTTTTCAATCAATCACAATCGATTTTGGTGCCCATTGTTTCCCTAGTATCCTCGAGTCCTTAAGGCCTCCATCATAGTCATTCGACATGTGTGCCTCTCGACTTGTCAAATTGTCCCACATTCGATGTTTCCTTTAGACCAAATTTAAACCTTCCATTTGACGTGAGGTTAAATCCATCACCTTTAGTTGGCCCGAAATCAATTCTACCATTCAGCCCATAAGAAAAGCCATCAACTTTCTTGTCATCGGACCTCATATCACTATGCTATTAGGCTCACCAATAAACTCAAGCCTCCTTGGACCTGCCATTAGGCTCACTGTTTATATCTACTTTGCTATCCCATATCATGATTGCTGCTGTTCAAGCCACAATCGTTGTTCCCTTGTCTCGTTGCCATCAGACCACCTTCATCCAAGCTCTATTGCTAGTGCATATTGTCGGAGCTTTGTTAGCCACCTCCGCGGCTCTGCATGCACCTCCCATTTCCAGCCCTCGTGTCGTTATCACTCTCTCTCATGCCTCTCGTTCTCTGCCCTTCTTTGGTTTCAGTAACGATGGTGTTGAACCATGAGCGTTCTGTCATCTCCACCAATAGCCACACCTGAATTTCCTCTTCCTCTATCTTACGACGTGGCCTTCTCCTTATCGGTGCCACTTTCCCTCTCCTTTGCTGCCCCAGCAGAGGCTATCCTAGTTGGTGCTACACCTTTAGCTTGGGTCTTGGCTTTCTATAGGCTCCGTATTAGCTTCTCCTAGGAAGCAAATCGTGCCTCAATCTTCTCCTTCATCTGAGTACATCTTTCCACCATAGTTGAATGGATCTTTCTAATCTTGACTTGCAAATATTTTCTTCTACTCCATGTTTTTGGCTGTTATTTGGTCTTAGTTCATACCAATTTGATAGAACCCCTAACTATTTTATTTATACGTTCAACCTTTTTTTGTGCCTCATCCTTTGTGCACTACATGCCTACACCTCATTTCATTCAATCACACTCCCGTTCTTGTCGTATTATGGCCACTATTCATGGTATGCAAGTTGATGAAAAACTTATATCAGCCTGGCTCGTCCTGCTTTATTCCCAATGAAATTTCAAGAGAGGCAAGAGAGGTTTCAATTGTCGGGAACTTAAATCATCTCTAGCCAATCCATGCAGCCTTAGCGTCAACACTATCTTAATTGAGCTAAGTAAGCCCTAAGGAAATTCTAGATAAGTATGGAAGAATGTTAGAAATGAGTGAAAATGCTCACGAGAAGCTTATTTTTATTCACTTGGAGATGCTCTTGTATAGTTTAGAAAGCGGAGTTCTCCCCTTCTATAGGAGACCACCTTCTTAAGGGACTATTCTAGTCCGAAGAAGGTTCTAGGTTCCTTTCATAAAGTCTAACCATCATTCACAAGTATCAAGAATATTCTAGAATGTTGTAAGACTCAAGAGAGTCTTGGTATACTTTGGAGAAACTAGACTATCCTGGAAATTCCAAGGGATTCCAGATCCTTTTTTGGCTAATGCTTATTTTCTTGCATTGCACGTGTCTGTAGGGCATCTACACAGGGGCGGACCCATTATGGTGCATATGGTGGCACGGTCCATGCTTCCTTCCTTCGTTGTGTAAAATTTTTTAGGGTCGTGAAAGGTGCCACCGTATTATTTTGTTGGGTGCAACCGTATATATTTTGAAACTACAATGACAACACAAGTTTCTTTTGGTAGACTTGGTTTTTACGACTTCTCTCCCATCCTAGGTGTGGGTTCAAATCCTGTTTGTGTCATTTTCTTAGCGTTTAGCTTTTATTTTCAGGCTTATTATGTTTTTCCAAAAAAAATTGTGATAACAGGCTCGTACATAGGACCTCACTTACGAAAAAGAAAGGAACTAACTAACAGGCCAATGATGATTTTGTAATAAATATCCATATCTTCATTTTTTATAGTCAAATTGTGCCATCAGTTGAAAAATTCCTAGGTCCTTTTTTGCATTTGCATGGGGAATCCGGACTTGCATGGCAGACATGACTAGAGGAAACATTTTGGGATTCATTTACAATATCTAGGGCATGACACTTCGAAACAAGTTGGTAAATATAAGGTTTCTAACTGCAGACCTAATTCAACCTTAACAACTAGTTTTTGTGTCAAATGCAGTAAAACTTTTTAGGTTAAGATCAATGGCTTTCTTTAATGAGATTAATTAGGTTTATGCTGGACTTCATGGAAGAGTTGTTGAAGGCCTGATACTAGAGGTTTGACGGGTGTCGAGTTCGACAAATTCCTATCACAATGAATTGTGATAGCGCTAAGTACGGTCGTCTCCTCAGGGACTTGGTGTCAACTGTGAGTCTAAGACGATGTTATATGCAGGCATTTCAACGGTAAATAAGGGGGTTGGGTGTGAGTTGATATTTAAGCTAAGCATAAAATTAAATTGAACTTGAAACAATAAGATAGCAAATCCTAGTTATGAGCATAACCGATTTATTAAGATTATGTATCATGGACTTGCACACAACAATATTTTCTCCAGTTAAATCCAGCATAAGTGTTGACACGCGTCAACATTCTGCTTATCATTACGATAAAACTATCACCGAACATCCAGTGGATTAGTTTCTAATTGATTAAGCCAATTCTAGTTACGAACATAGAAATTAACCTACCAATCGCATTAGAGTTGAGATAAGCACCAATCCTAATTAATGATCGGATGCCAGGCCATTTAAGCTAGATTAAGCAACCCGTAATGGAAGTCGGTTGATTTGGTGGTCAAATGATGCACTACTTATTACTTAGCCAAAATTTACGAACAATTACAGATTCTCAAATTGGGGTAGCAACTCGTAGTCGAATTAGAAAATCTGAGGGATCCTACTCAAACCCAATAACTAGAATACGAACAACAATTAAAACGGAGATTGCAAAAATGGAAAATCAACTGATATTGAAATGTAAATCAAGTCTCACTATAATATAAATTGAACTAGTCAAAATCTCATCACTAGGAATAGGGATTTAACTATTCATATCCCTATTTCAAGACATAAATTGAACTTACAAATGATAGAAGCCAGGAAATGATGAAGAACTCTAGTTAAAGAGCTCCAAAGGCGACTCCAAAGCACTCCAAAATCATGCTCAAAGGCTTCCTGATCGTCCCTAGAACTCTCATGGTGAAAATTGATCCAAACCCCCCTTTGAACGACGGCTTTAGAACTGATTTTATACCCCTCATGAAACCGCTCGAAAATGTCCAAAAAAATGATATGGGGTCGCCGACGACCTCGAACACGACTAGGGTCGCTGGAAAAGTCGCCCGGTTTGTCTTGTGGTTGAACAAAGTGACTAACGCCGTCAGTGGTGCGACTAAACTCGCAGGCTTGTAAGGCTGGGCTTGTATGTTTTTTGCTACTCTTTTTTCTTCGGTGGCTAACAAAAGAGAAACGAAAAAAGACCTAAGTTGAAAACAAGAGGCGTGACTTTTTTATTAACACTTGATTTTGTATGCAGTATGCTTAGTCAATGTCTTATTTGAGAACTATGTCCACATTTAATTAATTATGCGCCGATTGGTTAGAGTTTAGACATTGAGAAATATGCGCAACCTTGTAAATCTTTGAAATATATGCTCTGTGTGTACCTAAATCCATCTTTTTGGCATCTGACATTAATCAATTAACAACCAAGATTAAAGGGGTTTATTAACTATAAGATCATCATAATATGCAAGGTATTCAATATAAAAAATAGGCTCAAATAAGCGTTTATCAAGGTGGCAAACAAGCAACTCTTATGGGGGACAAACTACCTAGGATATGAGTTCACTAGTAGTTCTGCAGTTCTACCAAAACATGGGCTTTGTGGTCTTTGGATATATACCATCTCAACACATGGGCAAATCTGGAGAAGTCCAGGATCTTGGAAGTATGAGGGCATGCAACTCAGATCTAGAGTAGTGATGAACTTTTGGGGTTGAAATATCCGAGTAGGTTTATGATGACCTTAGTTTTGAGAATGATTGATGTGGAATGTTTGGCTTAAGGCATTAATCGTAGGGTCATCCATGAAGACAAAGGTAGCACAGATAAACTTGTTAATTATTTTGAGTTGATTTTGAGTTGATGGGTTGAAGGCTACAAGTTAATGATGTTCATTTGGTGCTTCGTGCTTGCCATTAAGCCATATTTGAGATAACACCACTTTTTTTTATAAAGAAAGAAACCATGCCAGGGAACAGGAAAGGCCATTTGTTGTCATGTTGTGCTCTTTTTATTTTACTTCCTCTATAATAATGTTGCTTAACTCCGTCAAACCTAAATGTTTATCATCCCTATAATTGCTAAAAACATTAAAAGTAAGTTTCTTAAATGCAAGTTGATTTTGCCCTACAACATAACGATAGGTCCAAATGATGCCTTCAATATGTATTTGATATTTTCTTGACCAACAACCAATATCAAGTTGAAAGGCTCTAAAGCACTAAATTTATGTCTTTTTTTATGTTTGAGGGATGACATGCATTTTTTCATGGTATAGATTTAAATGATATATGTACTTTTATAGAATATATAACCAAACCAAATGAGGCCGCCATAACCAACTCAGATGGGGGATGACTTATGAAGACATGACCTCTAACTCAAAGCATATGCACGACTGCATTGATGAAGACCTCTAACTTGTGAAAAATGTGTGAAAGAGAGAAAGTTGGCCCAAAAAGTTTGAGGAAAAACAAGATACAGTAAATTTTGAAAAGCCGTAGAGTATGCAACAACATTATAATAGAAGCATGTAGAAGAAAGTATAGCCAAGGTAAGGAAAACTATTATAATAGAAGCAGGTACAAGAAAGCATAGCCAAGGTAAGGAAAACTACTCACCCCTAGTCTAACTTAGGGACTTGACAACCTAACTGCCTACTCAATAACTCTACACCCCACCGACTGCCTCTCTGGCTCCCTTTCTTTCGTCTAATCTATCCACAAATTTCCACCCCTTGCTTGCTACCGTAGTTCTCTGTCTCAAAGAACTCCTATCCTTCTAAATGCCTAGAGCCTCCATGTCCCACCTCGCTTGCTTATCCTAAAATCCTTTCTGGCCTTTCCCTTCTCGCTCCTTTGACCGTAACACTTTCTAACCTCCTCACTTGTCACTAGAGCAACCATATGTCTCCTAGGAACATGGCCAAACCACCCTAATCTTCCCTCCCTCAGCGTCTGTAATAGGTGCAACTCTCAGTCTCAATACTGCCCGGAATACCACTTCCAGTACTGTCAAACCTTTTCCGATCACAGGTCCATCTAAGCACTCTCATTTCTGCAACTTCTAACTTTGTCATCGGTCTTCCTTGTCGTCGAACACTCCCAAGTCATATAACATGGCTAGTGTGTAAAAATTGCCCTTCAATTTTAGCAGGACCTTCTTGTCACACAACACCCACATGGCAACCCTCCATAACCACCCCGTTTTTATGTGATGGGTTATGTCATCCTTGACCTCACCTCCTTTTCTGAATCATGGAGCCTATATACTTGAAACTATCCTTTTGCCTTTTGGGGTACCCTTTGCCCTCAATGTTGACTTCCATGCCCTCTTTGAAACACTCCATACTGAAATTGCACCATAAATTTTTGTTCTTAGAGTGGCTGGCTCATAGGCCTTGTGTTTCCAATGCAACCGTCCACTGCTCCAACTTATCATTTACCTTCCACCTTCAACCCTTCTTCTAGCACAATGTCATTAGCAAATAACATACTCCATGGGACACTCCCCTAGATCCCTTGGGAAATGTCTTCCAAATCCCTTTATAATATAGAATTCCATGCAAATATTTCCTCCGCTTAATGGATAACCATTTGCTACCCCATTCCTCGAATGAAGTTCCTTACATCTCCTACTACCGGTGGGGTGACAACTAGTTTTGGTACAAGTTAGGCCTTGGAATGAAAGACAAATTCTGAATCCGCTTTGTTCCTAATGGAATAGGTAACAAAGCTACCTTGCTACCCACTGCTTCTGTCACCTTGATGTGAGGCATTCCTTCAGCAAATACTCTGGGAGCTTACAGTTTCATGTTCTATTTCACTTAGCCTACGAACTCCGGCTCACTTCTTGCCGATTTCCCTTCTTTTGCAATCGGTTTCGCTACAACACCCGCTGCTCTAGCTAATTGTCCGTGTTCATTTTGGCTCCTGAGCGAGAACGAGAAATAGGCACATAATTAAGGGATCCATCGAAAGGTAACTAAAACACCAGAAACGGGAGAGGCTCGCGTCTGATTAGCTAGTTGGTGAGGTAATAGCTTACCAAGGCGAAGAATCCGTTGGGTCTTCCAGTATCAATAAGTTGATTGTTTCGCTTCACAAAAAAGGGATTCGGCTGTAGCCCTATCTCTGTTGGGAAACACACCGTCTCACAAACGGGGTCATGACACAAGTCATTGATTGCCCATACATATCCTGAATTGACTTGACATACCTCCATGGTACCCCTATTTTCCAGACTCCTTCAAACCACATCCCTCATTTCAGAATCATATGCCTTTTCCAGGTCTATGAACACCTAGTGTAAGCCCCTTCTACGTTTCTATACTTCCCCAGCCTCAGTCACCGGCTCCCATAATTATATGACGTGGTCAAGTAACATTATACCAAGATAGTTGCCGCAATTTTGCACACCATCTTTCTTATAGAGCGGCACCACCTCACTAAGCCTCTTTAGGTATAGTAGTTCCGAGTGTGTCATTCAAGAACTCTGTCAACCACTACACACCTGCCTCTCCCAAACAAAGCCATACCTCTATAGGGATTTGATCTGGGCCTACGGTTTTACCCTCCACCATTTTCCTTAGTACCCCTTTCACTTTCTTAATCGCCGACAAAAACAAAGGTCGCACGACCTGTGATGCCCCCGCTCCTTCTGCCTCGACCTCCCTATTCATTGCCTCATTAAAATAAACATATATGTTTTTTCATGGGAAAAGTGAGGTTAATCTAGATACTGTTTAATGAGGTGTGCATTGGCTGAAACGTTAGATTTTAGCTACAGTATATACGTTGTTCCAACTTTGTAAAAACAAACAATCTGAGATATTTTCACTTGCAACCATAGGGAAAAGGGATAAATATTGAACTAATAAGAAATATATACGGAAGAAAGATGACTTGAGGGGAAATGAAGAAATTTGTGTGTTTCAGATGCAAGTCTGCTTTGTGGGTTTCATTTTTCTTTCTGCTGACTATTTATCATGAAATCACCATTTCAATTATGTGTAACACCCTTTTCTTGATGTTGCAACTAAACAGAAAATTCCCTATCAGTTCTCTATGGAACACCTTCCAAACTGCAGAACAGAGATTGTGCTTCACAATTTAAAAGGAGAATGCTGGACAGTAAATTCAATTCCAACTCTTAAGGTTCAGACATTGCATACTTTTTGTGGAGGGTGGATGGCGTTTGTCCGTGATAATGGCATCCAAATGGGAGATATTTGCATTTTTGAGCTCGTTGGCAGATGTGAAATGCGTGTGCACGTATCCAGTGTTGGAAAGAATGTGGCCTTAGACTATCAGATTGGACATGGACCTTCTAATGAATTAGACAACGGGTCATCATGTTGATTCAGCTCCTATCTCGAGCAAGCAAAAAGGCATCATATTCTGGTCAGTACCCTTTCTTTCCATGAAGAATTGCGTTCTGCTGACTGATTAAAAAACCTTGTATTTTTTAAGCTTCTGTTCATATTTTATGTCTGATAAATAAAGGGTTGCATATGAAGGCGAAGGATCGTGTGAGGAGAGTTAAGGTGAGAAGCATAAGATGGTAAGAAGGGATCTAGACCTTGATCACCTTTAATCTCAAATCCACCCATGAATCGCGCTTGATATGAGGATTGATCCAGTGCATCTTGGTGCATCACGTTCTTATCTGCATCAAGGGGTGGAGATCCCTTCTTACGTTTCTTACCTAAACTCTTCGTCTCACCGGCATCCAACCCTGCGTATGAAAGTTGGCTATATATAATATATATATATATATATATATATATATATATATAGCCATAGGTTCATTCGAGAAGTGGTGGAAGGTATTTGAGAAGTAGAGAAGTTATCCTAGCCTTTCATCTGTCAAAATTTGCGGCTTTGATTGTGAAACACTGGATAATTCCTTGCATGATATACGGAAGATAGAGGGGGTAGTATCATAACTTTTACAAATAAGCGGCAAAACAAGTGCATGTGTGAACCTGTGTGATTCACATATGAATAATATCTTCATATGTGAATCTGTGTAATTCACATATTAACTATTTAACTGATTCACATACTATGTTGTTATAGTGGTGAATATACAAAATTGCGGCCAGGACCGATATTTGAAATACCGGTTATAGTAGTGGTATAACGTTCCAAAAATAGCAGTTCATACAATATTTCTTAGAATTATATTATAATATATATATATATATATATATATACATACATACATAAACATATCATAAATTAATTAAAAATATAGTTGTAACATCAAAACATCAACTTAAACAAGTTTCACAAAACAAAATAGGAAAAGTGTTCATAAACGAACTAATCGCAAGCAATAGGTTCAACATCTGAGTTAACATAGTTCTAAAGAGGCCCAAGCTAAATTGTCGGTATATCAGTCCGCAATTTCACCTCAAATATCGGTCAATTGCACCGCTAATATCAGAAACGCAATTTTCACCTCAATTTGATCACCACAATTTTATCTTAGTTCGCAATCCGTTATTGCACTGCTATTGCAATGCAATATCGCTGCAATTAACAACATAGTTCACATATGAACTAATTAACTGATTCACATGAACTATGAGTTTACATATGCACTTGTTTGCCGCTTATTTGTAAAAGTTACGAAACTACCTCTTCATTTTTCGCTTGACCAGTTTGCAAATCTTAACCAGTCAAAGCCGTAATTCTTGACCGTATGAAGGGCTAGGATCACTTCTTTACTTCTCAAATGTGTATGTGTATATATATATAATGGTCTCACGTGAACCCAATCCAACCCTATAATATATATATATATATATATATATATTATAGGGTTGGATTGGGTTCACGTGAGACCATTTTTTTACACTTGAAATTTTACATGCAAAACACGGTGAAGGTAAAAAAGATGGTCTCACGGGTCTCATGTGATCCCAAGTCTATATATATATATAGGGTCAGGTTCTAAGGAAAAATGCAAAAAAATGAAAAACACCCAAATAATCATTCATCTGTAAGATATGCACATGTACATACAAGTAATTTGTCCGGTATGCATGTGTGCATAACATGCACACATTCATAGAAACCAGGAAACATCTTTAATTGTTTACATGCACATGTACATATCATCTAGATAAATGACTATGACGGTGTTCCTTCATTTTTCATTATTTGGGGGTTTCCCCTGAACCTATGCCGGGTATCCTGGCGGCTGAATAGCTGATGAACCGAGTTTTGCAGGTGTTAGGGAGGTTGCTTATTGGTGGTGGTATGAGTGTGATGCTGATAATATAATGGGAAGTTAACATAATGGAAGACTGCATCTGTTTTGTATGGTAGATCTGTCAAAGCTTTCTGCAGAAGGTTATAGTTATTGGTCATACAATTGTAACAATCTCCCTCCCCTTGATTTGTACATAAACTGTAACCCAACTGGTAACTTTCTTCTATTAATCCTTTAATATCCTCCTACTCCTACTACTGTTATTGCAGGCTTATTCCACAAATAAAGGAAGGGAAAAATCATTAAAAAAACAAAAACTTTGACATGAATACCATCAATAAAGAGCATTGGATTACTTTGAAATCTTCTGTTCATTTTCTTTTGCAAGTTATCAAACACCATTTGAAAAGAAAACAGCACCATGCTCTCATCTGTTCCGTTGTTGGTTGGTACTGTCCTAAAAAGACTTCATTTTGACCGTCTATCGTCTACCCCAGTCAGTCAAGCTATGGCGGCCATCGACACAATTCAGCCAAAAACTTGATATTTGAATCCTTGACATAAAAGCAATTCAAAAACATCAATTTGTGTGCATTGTAAGCAGGTTTAGGAAGTTTAGTCACTGACCACACAAAGTTCATTGTTGGCCATTCTCAGTTCCAGAAAGCTCATTTATCAATTAAAACGGATACTGGGCAATGCAGTTGTTGAATGGGGGAAAAACAACTAAATTGGGAGACAGATCAGGCGTATGGATCGATGAATTTAATGTCTAAGCTTCTACAAGAATAGTCCCAGATATGAAAAGGCCATTGAGGCTGAAAATTCCATTCTTCTTAAGCAGATGGTCTTTGACATGCTGAGAAGAGTTGCCAGCTGATTAAAGCCATGGCCAAGGAAGTGAAGAGTTGAAAACCTACAACTTCTGGAAGGTGCCATCCTAACCCCCACCTCAAATAGCTGCACAAACATTCCACAAACTCATATGCATGCTTTCCTAGTGTAAAATGAAATGGTAAAGGAAACAGACAGGCAGACCTTGTGATAGAAGGCATTGTTGCCACAATTCCTGCACATGCATATATGATAGGAATCAAAGTCTTGGGCTTGTTTTTCCTTAGCCACATCAAAGATCCCAATGCAGCAAGTGATATACTCAGCATCTGCATTTTTACATTTCAAACATCAAAGGACAATCACTAAAAACCCATCACGGTTTTAACATCTAATCGTTGCTAATATTGTGAAAGAGCGAGACAAAGGCAAACATACCAGATTTGCATTTGCTTCGAGCCCTTGCAGAATGTAATCCCATGTAAATTCAAGTCCTCTAGCACCAACCCAAAGGGGTGCCAGCCTGTGCAAAACTGAATCAGCAAAAGCCCACCCTGCCAGTATATACATACAGAACTTGATCAACCAAACAAGAAAAATCAAGAAAAGGGAGAAATCTGATTTACGGTTATGGTAATTGACACTTTTTTATTTTCTCAAACAGGCAAAGCTTTTGAATCTGATGTTAAATGTTGCACCCCAAATGTAAACAATTCCAAGTATAATCCAGAATCCTGACACCCCACCTTTTCTTATGTGCTTTTCCGAGATCATGAACGACAAAACAAGCCTTGATCACACACATAACAGGATAGTATGGATACATGAAGCGGATAGAGTGGTAGAAGACAGATATCACAATATACGGCAATAACATGAACCCCGGCAACAAAAAGACCATCCTTACTATTATAGCATCTTAAGAAATTCAAACATGAAAGAGGATGGTAGTTACCAAGTCCAACGGCCTGAAACTTGTGATTTTGAGAGATGTTCCTGTGAGTTAACTGAGTCAGGGCAAAGTAAAGCCCCGCAACATCTATAAAACCAATCAAAGCTTTCAACAATTCCTAACAAAAAAGAAAAAGAAACATTAGGAAAACTATATTGGGACACTGATATTAAGACTCCCAGTAATGTAAATAACTGAACGAACCCAAGGACTAACACCAGAAGCCAATAGATTGCAGGTTAAGACTTAAGAATTTAATTGTAAGAAGAACCTTGTCCTAAGGATTTAACTCATAGGTCAACTTTGTAAATTATGAAAATAGATACATAAAGTTAACACACTAATGAAAAGAAACAGGTATGCCTTGGAACTTAGAAGCGTAACTGTGACATTATAGGTAGCCATAGAAAACTAGTGCTTGAATCGGGGTCTGTTCTTTTACAAGGGGAAAGATCTTTCTGAGATTGGTGATGACATTTCACAATTTTTTGGGGACCATTCTCCTACAACTTAAGGCCACAATAGAAGAGGATACAGCACATGCAAATTTGCTGTCAGAATCCCTTCCAGGGTTCTACTTATCAGTTAATTCCATCTGCTGAGCCAAAATCATGGCCAGTTCCGGAAGTTGACCAAATTCCACGTATTCCTAGCCACTGTGTATCAAAGAACATGCAGGGATAACGAATGCAAATCATCCGTTGAGTTCATGACCAGAAAATCCTTCAGAGAGCCCAATATGCAATAATTTTGATGCTGAGCTGCTGTAAAGCAAACTTCCAGCATTACAGGGTATTGGCACACTATATTCAGTGAGATCTGCTTGGGTTTGTGATTTCCTATCTATAATTGCAAGTTCGACAAATGTACTCAGACCATGGATCCAAACATGAATTCCAGTCAAGGACTAGAGACAGCTATAAGTTGTTTGAAACATTTCTTATGTCCCTTGATGAGGAAAGGTGTAACAAATACCAGTGTTCAATACTGAAATCAAACCCAAATACTCCTTAAAGATGTAAATATGCAGCCAATTTGATGTGTAATTTGAAGGCTACTGCTATCACATAGCATCAACCATGTAGGTGTACTTGTTGGTCCATACAGAATTACAACTCATATACAAGGGAATACAAGAACTCATGCAGCGACAGATTTAAGACCATTACTTGATCATTAAAAAGAACACAAAATAATAATGGATGTTACCTGAGAAGGATCAAAACTGTCGCTTTCAGACACCTTAAGAAATGTAGCAAGGCAAACAAGCTGGCCAAGTAATCAATATAAATGACAGAATTAGTTAATAGACAACAATGAGCGTGAATCAGAGACTTGTATCAGTTGTGTCAATAATCTAAGAGTAATTAACCACTGAAAGGCTGTGCCAATAGGGTGGCATAGACGGAAAATAGTACCTTCACCAATGCTGTGACCAGATAGACAACGGCAGTTTTGACAGAAGTGCCAAGTGTATCATACTCAGATCTGCAGTAGAAAAACATCACCATGAAACTATGCGAGAGATATTCAACTTTATCAGAGATCATGCCCATATGTCAAGTACATAAATAGTATCGAGAAAAACCCTAGTATCTCGTGATAAAAATACATACTCAGTATGGATATCTGAAATATTGCCTTCCCTAGATACAAAATTAGCATTATTCAGATCACAATTCATAACATAGGCTGAACTTACATAACTATCTCCAGCGAAAACATAATAGTCTGTTACTTGGAGTTTTCGCCACTTTTGTAGATGGCAATATACATGCATTATTTAAATGATCTTGTAGTGTGATTACATAAATATTAAATGCTAAATGATATGCTATCAAATTCCTTCACTTATATATGATTACAAACCAAAAATGGTGCTAGATTCAGTCATATAAGGTCATCTTGTGTCTGAGAACTAAAGACCCCCATTTGATATTCAACGGTCAAAAGCAAAGGTAGTTGATCCTGACCAAAACATCGGTCAATATACAATTGAACTCGCAATGCCAAAAAGTTACCCTTCATAGTGCAATAAAACAATGAAGCTGCAGCGTTAAACAGTTGTTGAAGACACACAAGAGAGGAAAAGCACCATCAGTGAACAAGGAACAAATCATGGGTGGTCAAGGAATCAGGGTCAGAATGGCCATCCAGCACACCATTTAAATGGTTCTCGAGCCATGACCCAAATTCTGTCTTGATCAACTTTAAGGACAGATTTACTTATTCAGTTTATCTTCCTCCCCGATACTTTCTTTTTGGTTTCTCCATTTGCTGGCTGCCGTAATATTTTTTTCTTTAATTAAAATTGGCAGTTACCTAACTTGCTCCCAAATCGTTGATGAAAGAATCCTTCAACTGTCGTCTTAGTTCATATTCTCTTAATTAAAACAACTTCAGAGCAGAGAATTTGGCATTGAGACAGGAACTTATTTACTTAGTTAAAATCAAAGGTTGACTTTCAATGTCAAAAGAAATCTTTATGCATTACCATAAAGGATGGGTTAGTAATTTCTATTGTTCATAAAACGATAGTTCTGTTCACCTCCTAGTTGGGGTTTTCCAAATTTTCCCTCGTTTATATAACTTCACCTTAATTGTTATGAACTTTAACTTAACATGCCTTTGTTCATTTATAAATTGTACGCAAAACACATTCTAAGTTATCTGCTAGAAGTAGCAACAAAGTTAGTCTAATGAAAACTTAAAATCAAAATGGTTCTCAAATTAGGTGAAGTTAGATAAACAAATGAAGATCTTCCCAAGAAACAAGGGGTGTCAATTTATGATATATCAGCACCAATATGGTTTTTGGCCCTAAATATCTACAAGTTCCTTCACTCTCAGTTCAATTGATTGATAAACTCTCCAAAGAACAAGGATTCTCAAATTTAAAAACACAAGCACCAATACGCTTTCACAGAGCAAACCATACACAAGGCTCTTGGAAACTAGTTCAATTTGATTGAAAAACTTCCCCAAAAACAAGAAACACAAAGTCCCAAACTGTCGATGTAGATCCAAGAGCTCAAAAAGCTATCAGTTTCTCAACAATCCCAGCTCAATTGATCCATAAAAGCTCCCACGAACATAAACTTGATATGAACAAATCCCATGTATAGATATCATCAGATTTTACACCTACACCATTTAGATGTCCATCATAATGAACTTACAATGTGGCAGTACTAACGACAATTCACATCAGGTGCTACAACAAAACCAATTGATTGTAGCATACGATATATTAACTGTAAACTTCTTACTTGTTTAACTAAGCATCTAGCTCAAACAATCACACTAATAACAGCAGATAAAGGGCCAAAATTTCGCAACAAATTAGGTCATTTATCGAGTACAAAAGAAGACTAACAGAGGAGTAGCGGAATAGTAGACGGCGTGAGGGCCAAATGTCAAGATTGCACAGTTGAAGAAGTGAAACATCGTCATCCTGCTCTCTCGCCTGTAAATTCGAGAAGAGAGATCCAGAGACGAAAAACGAGAAGAATTTTTGATCGATCAATGTTGTACTTCCACTGCGTGACCACGGTAACTTGAGTGAGGACGACCGCATTGAAGTATCCGGCCACCGGCCATATTCATAATTGGCTTGGCTACTAAAATCCAATTGGGCTATGTTTTGGGGTTTTACTAATGGGCCTAAGACAAATGGCCGGTAAATAGTGATGGCCAAATCGGTCCGTGACCGACCAAGGACTGGTTATGGGATCATCGGTTACATTCGGTTATGACTTTTAGCGGATTTGTGGGACCGGGATCAGGACCGGTTATAGACCGACCCGGCCCGAAATATTCCAAAAAAAAAAAATGCCTTTTTAAAAAAAATATAGCCGTTAACTAGCCGTTTTTGACTTTTTTTGTATTTTTTGGTTTCTAAACATTATAAATATGTAACAAGGTTGAGAGTTTTACATACCAAGTTCTCAATTCGCAAAAAACATTTGGTTTCTTGTTATATTTTGTGAATTCGACTCGTATTCATTTCTCGTTTCCACTTCACAATTCGCATTTCTTTCTCTTTGTCTTATAAAATGACCGGTGAACAACATGATGCATCAAACGAACAAGTTGCCCAAGTTCTCGCCGAACACGGATGAAAGTCCGAGATTTGGAATCACTACAACTTGGTGGTTCTCACAAACGGGAAAAGAAAGTCACAATGCAAAATGTGTCAAGCTCTTATTACGGCGGAATAAAATTATACCTTAAGGAGGCACACTGAAAAAATGTGCTCGGGGTTGAGGTCGGGGGACGATTCAAGTCAACTGATACTTGACACTCAAGGTTAAATATGGTTGTATGGTGCCGAGTTGAACCGACAAATGACAACACAATGTGTCATTCAAGTCGGGTTGCCTTTCGGACATTTCGACAACCCTCACGTTACGAAATTGATCCAGAAAACACTACAACCACAATACAAGTCGGTAAGTCGTCAAACCCTTAGAAATGATGCAATTAAAATGTGAAAAATGTGTCGAGCTGAAATGTAATGTTTTCTGTTTTGTCTAACAATATTTCTTTAACGTGTGATGTATGGAGCGCACCATACATATTGCCGGTTTCGTATATATGCATAATGACACATCGGGTTGAGCCTTCATCGTGACACTTATTCAAGCGTGTAATCGCGTTTAAACCGTTTGGTGCGCCACATTCGGGTGCACGTCAATTTTCAATTATTAAAAAATGACTTGCATTTTATAATTTAACTGCTAAAATAGTTAGCGTTTCATTTGATAATGCTAGTATAACAATCTATGTGTGGAAAAATTAAAGTGTCATTTGACACATATTTTAGACGGTAAATTATTTCATACACGTTGTTGTGCACATATAATAAATTTAGCCGTTCAAGACGGGTTAAATACTTATAAACCCGTAATAGATAAGTTTAGACTTATGTTGCGGCGAATTTTCACAAAGAGTAAGAAAAATGAATGCAGAATGCGAGGACGTTGGTTTCAGAGCTTTGAGACCGATGTTCGATATGCCCGTTCGTTGGAATTCGACTTATTTTATGATTGAAATTTTGATAAAACAAAGAAGTCATATTTTTTCATTTTATAGACACCATAACCTGCAGAATTCTATTAGAAATGTTGATTGGGCCGTGCTTACTAACAATCCAAGCTAGTACCATAGCTTCAGAATCTGCCTTTTCTCTTAGTGGCAAGATCATTTCTATATGTCGGACAAGACTAAGCCCGGAGTCCGTGAAATGTTGCATCTGTTTGAAGGATTATTTGGATAGCGTTGATAGAATTCAACATACAACATCGTTAGAGATGGAGATTGAAATGGTGGAAGAAAATTTGGAAGAAAATAAAACCGCATGAGACTAAGCACGCCGCCAACTACCGATGCCGACAACACTTACTCACAATATGAAGATGATGAAGAACTCGGCATTGATGACCAAGAGGCTATTAGAAGAATTTAAGACACCGAAACTCTTTAAATCAATCAGACATGGGATACGATAAATATTGATGAATAAATGTATTCTCAAATAATTTTATAATAAATTTTTGTAAGACAATGTAATTTTAATTATAATAAAAAACATCAATGTAATTTTAATTATAATAAAAAACATTTTTAATGTGTATTTGAGTGACACGTACGACAAATTTTATAATGTATAACAAATATATATCATTAAAAAAAATTAATGGTGGGATCGGTTGGGACTGGGACCGGCAGCTCATAACCGGTTGTAATAGAGCCTGACCGATCTTCACCTTTACGACCGGGACCGTTACAGATTGACCGATTATGGCTGTTTTTCAAAAAGTGTGGGACCGGTGGGGCCCGGCCCGGCCCGATACCGGTTTTTGGCCATCACTACCGGTAAACAATGGAACCTAGCCCACATTTATCCTACATTATTTCAAAATATTTTACTTATCTATTGTTTAGTCAGGGGATCGTGTGAGAATAACAGTTACCATAAGAATAAAAAAAAAATTGAGCTTTTAGATGAGTTGTCTTTTAATCCAACTTCGTGCTTTTTCAATTACATTTGTAACACCTCATGATCACATTTGCATATAACCGTATACTTCATATATCATGAAATACAATTTACACATTTGGTCCCAATATATACAAAATGCTACATTACAAAAGTAGCTACCAAATTTTTCCACATATTCAGAACTTGTATACATAACAAGTATTCACATACATATAACATACAAACAATCATAAATTTCTTCATAATTTTCCCTTCCCCTTATCTTCCGATTGTGTCCGACCTGTAATGCACATTTTAAATCACCAAAACGAGGATTAGACAATAAAGTCTAGTGATAAATCCCTTTGATTGTTATTACAGATAAGATGAGACACCACCTATTTATCATGTTCAACAACCAAATAAACCCTTTATCGCATAACACATAAACTTATCGCATCATATAGATAAACCATAATTTTCTCGCATCAGAAAGGTGAGATAACCACATTTCCTCGCATAACACAGATACGATAACCCAATTCATCGCATCAAATACATGCGATAGACACGTCTTGTCGCATCAGTAGGATGAGACAACTCAACCAAAGATGCGACAAACATCCTTCTCGCATCATAAGGATGCGATGAAGTTAACTCATCACATCAATAGAATGCGATAACCCACAGTGATCGCATCATGAAGATGCGATAAACTAAAGTCATCGCTTCATGAAGATGCGATAAACTAAAGTCATCGCATCATAAAGATGCAATAACAATTATTCATTTTGATCAAAATCCCAATTTTCACATACAGTTAATTATACCACCATTATCCCTTAATACATATCTCCTGATTATGCACCCTTATTCCAATATACGTCTCTCCTGATTATGTCATCATTATCATAAAAACAAGTCTCTCATGATTATGTCACCCTTATTCCTGTCATTTGATATTAACATATCAAAGTACAAAATTTTGCTAAAAATAGCATAATTAACAGATTTAAAACACTCTCACATAAATAATCATGTGGTTCTGTTTTAACACTGATAAATAAAAGTTTCTAAAATAAAACTCACCTTATGATCACAAAGAGATGCAGATAAATAACATCAATTATTCGGTAGTGGTGTGGTGGTGGTGGGGGGGGTTTGGGGTGGGACATGACGAACAATAGTAGCATGGTCATGGTTGGTGATGATGAAATTCAATTTCTTTCATTATGTCAATGAATGATGAATTCATTAATTTGTGGAATTTAAAGGATTTCATCCATTTCAAGAAATAAACCAATCAAATGAATTTGTCATTCCAATTCCATCAAATTCATTCGAATTTCGTGAACCAAACGGCCCCTTAAATCTTGTAGGACTCCCAAGAAATTATGCGATTTCTTCCGAAAGCAGATGATTAAATTCATCTTTGATATCGACGCAATATCATCTACAATAACATACACCATGACCCGCTCCCTTGGTTCCCGTGGGAAATCTCATCCTTGGTGCAACTCCGTCGGAAATACTCTATTAACCCTACTGGAGTCCTAGCACACGTCCTCACTACTAGAAAACTAACTTTCCCGACGGATATTACCGATGATTAGAATCCGTCGGCAATTTCCGAATGAACAACGACAAATGGGAACTTCTCCCGACGAAAATAATATATATATATGTAATTCGTCGGTAATATTAAATATTACCAACAAATTTTAAATTATTTTATTTTTCATTTAATGATTTTCCACGTGTCCTTCAGTAACCCTTTGATAATAATGCATGATAAAAAGTCCTTTATTTACTATTTTTACCGACGGATCACCGACGAATTGGATTATTTACTGATGGATTACCGATGTTTCCGTCGATACAAGCCCCTTGTTTTGTAGTTCCTGCTCAAACAAACCATATTTACAGACTAAAATAATTAAGTGTTTAAAACAGCAATCATAAAACCATATACCACTAAATAATAATATGAGATGTTTGAAGATATTAACCATCCAAAAATGTATCCAAATCAAGTTTCAATATTTTTATGTACGCATTATTATTACCAAAAAAAAAATCCTGATAATATTTTATTCTGTATATATGATTATATGTATGATAAAAATTAATACTGGAACAACGTATAGATGTGTTGAATCAGTCAAGTATGTTTATATGATCGATGGATATCAGTAGAACATGGAAATTTTGGATAGGTGTGATTAAAAACTGCAATAATTGGAATTGACTAATAGCAAATTAAGAAGAACAAATTACATGTGTTAATTGGAGATATTTATACTATATTATAAAGTATTTGACAAAAATTCTTAAAAACAATTTTTTTATACATAAAATTGATGCATATACTTAAAATTCAAAATTACAAGTAAAATGTGCATGAGTACATTTTATTAAATTAGCTCATGTTTGAATTCGTATAACTAACTGCAGATAAACATAATCAAATACATGATAAATATCATTTTAAATATAAAAAATCTAAAATATAATTAAGATAATCATTGAGTTCCAACAGAATACTTAATTATTATCTTAAAGAAATTATTTTACTAAACCAAAAATAAATTAATTCGTTTTTAAAATTCAATTAAATCATAATAAAAAATTGAATTAAAGAAATTACACAAAAAATATAGCTTTTAAATAGTTAATCTGATACTAATATCGCTTATTTTTATCAAAATTTTATAATATTATCAAATTTATATTTTTCATTCAAAAATAAATTTTTTTTTATCAAAATCATATAAAATTGTATTATAATATTGATAGACCCAAAATATAAAACGAAACACTAATTAAAATATATCTCGTTGCATTAGATAATTATCCTTCCAATACTAGTAATTCACGAGAAATTATGTGATTATTATAATTAAATTACAACCTCCCTCCTATGAAACCCTAATTTTCAACCTAACCAACCCTCACTTTCCATGTCATTAAAAGGCATGCTTCATCTTCATGCTTAAAAAATATATAAATTAATAAAATAATACCATAAAAGTCTATATATACAAACCAGAACAAGAATCAAAACTACACAAATACACCATGAATTATTCACTCCAACTAATTATCGTATTTATTTCGTTTTTACTCCTTTTCTACGTCATGTTTATCGGTAGAACCAAGTCCAAAAGCAGGGCTAGAGAAGCACCTGAGCTCGGTGGTGCATGGCCGATCATCGGCCACCTCCACCTACTTGGCGGCGGCAACCAGCTTCTCTACCGGACATTAGGAGCCATGGCCGACAAATACGGGCCGGCGTTCAACATCCGGCTAGGAACCCGCCGTGCTTTTGTGGTGAGCAGCTGGGAAGTGGCCAAAGACTGCTTCACCGTCAACGACAAAGCACTTGCTTCACGGCCTAAAACCGCCGCCGTGAAACACATGGGTTATAACTATGCCGTCTTTGGCTTCGCTCCTTACACTCCCTTTTGGCGCCATATGCGGAAGATCGCCACCCTGGAGCTCCTTTCCCACCGCCGCCTTGAGATGCTCAAAAACGTCCGTTTGTCGGAGATTAATTCCGGAATTAAGGAACTCTACGGGCGGTGGGAGGAAAACTCTCGTCGGCCGGTGGTTGTTGAACTGAATAAATGGTTGGAACACATGATGTTAAACATAGTGGTGATGATGGTGGCCGGAAAGCGGTATTTCGGTGTTGGAGGTGGCGGGGATGAGGCGGCGAGGTGTCAGAAAGCCATCAGCGATTTCTTTCGTTTGATTGGTATTTTCGTGGTATCAGATGCCATACCTTTTCTATGGTGGTTGGATTTACAGGGATATGAAAAGCAGATGAAAAAGACGGCAAAGGATCTCGATTTGGTGCTACGAGGGTGGCTCCATGAACATCGACAAAACCGAAAGTTGGATTTGGGACGAAACAACGAAAACGTAAAGGATTTCATAGACGTAATGTTGTCGCTTGAAGACGAAGGGCAACTATCTGGTTTTGAGCATGATGCCGATAGTAGCATCAAATCGACATGTTTGGTAAGTTACATTTATATGGACGATGTTCTAGTTCCATATCAACTTGAACCATAGAATCTCTCTATATATGTATGTATATATGTATATGTGTGCGAGAGAGTGAGAGAAAGAGAGTGACTGTGTGTAGGAACCTTCCCTCTTTGTTCTTTTGGTAAAAGATTCAAACGGTTGGGTTCTTGTAAGAAGGAAAGTTAATGTGAGAAGCGTAAGAAGAGATCTCCATCCTTAGATGCATATTAGGATGAGATGCACCGAGATGAGATACAACAGATCAATCCCCTTGTCAACCACAATTCATGGGTGAGTTTGAGATTAAAGATGATCAAAGGTCCAGATTCCTTCTCACGCTTCTTACGTCAGCTCTCTTTCTCACACACGATCCTTTGCCAAGATTCAAAAGGGTTATATATATATATATATATATATCTTAATAGTCGATAGTTTATCAAATATTTACACTCGATGGGGTCTTACAGGCACTGATTCTAGGAGGCAGTGACACGACGGCTGGGACACTAACGTGGGCGATCTCATTGTTGTTAAACCATCCCAATGTCTTAACAAAGTTGCAACATGAACTAGATGAGCATGTAGGTAAAGAAAGACAAGTCGACGAATCCGACATAAAAAACCTCTTATTTCTTCAAGCGGTAATAAAAGAAACTCTTCGTCTCTACCCGGCGGGCCCACTTCTAGGACCGAGGGAGGCCATGGAAGATTGTACAGTTGCCGGGTACAATGTCAAAGCTGGGACTCGATTAATAGTTAACGTTTGGAAGCTTCAAAGGGATTCAACGGTTTGGGTCGATCCATCTAAATTTGAACCCGAGAGGTTTATGGGTTCTGACCATGGACATGTCGACCTGAGAGGACAACAATTTGTGCTCATGCCATTTGGGTCAGGTCGACGTTCTTGTCCTGGAGCCACGTTTGGACTTCAAGTGCTTCATCTGACATTGGCTCGTCTTGTCCATTCTTTTGATCTGGATCGGGTTGGAGGTCTTCCGGTCGACATGGCCGAGAGCCCGGGGATGACGATTCCAAAAAAGAAGCCATTAGAGGTCCTCTTGAACCCGCGACCTCTGGCCAAGCTCTACGGTTGTTGATGAAGATGAAAATATATATTATGGTATGAGTGCTTAATGTTTTCCTTTTTAAAGAATGATATATATATATATATATATATATATATATATATATATATATATATATATATA